ATACTATAATGTTAAAGTATATGTTAAATAATAACACTGTTGATTCGATTTGTAGATAATGAAGACATCCAAAATAATTACAATTACAATTTATACAAAAGTTACGATTAATTATGTTTATAATATTCCCGGCAAATTTGTATACTTATGAATTTTCGAACGAAAAACAATCTTCTAATCCACGTACTGCAATTTCAATCTAAAGGTGGCTAAGCTTTTGGACGAAAGTCAATACTATACATATCAAGATAGCTCATTTCACCCGAAATTAATTCCGCGTACTATCGCTAAACAATCTTCGAGCAACAAACGACCAGCCAATAAATCTGCTTCAACCATCCCCCTTGAACACCCACTTCACCCCTGTCGCCGACCAAGCAGACCGATAACACGAAGGAATCCGTCGGTTTCGGTAATCACCGTGACTGTTACCGAAACGAACTACTATGCGTTGCACGAGAGAAGTCGTCCACGCTAAGCTTTTGGATGAAAGTCAATACTATACATATACAAGAAACAAGTCTGTATTATTAGAAGATCGTTTTAATTACTTTTTAATGACATGATTACGACGGCTGGAAATCAATTTATTGTTTTGCCAATGATTCTGCTTTCGCCACTACTTCTTCGATTGGGCCCACCATGTAGAATGCGACTTCTGGCAAATGATCATAATCTCCAGCAAGGATTTTCTGAAATCCTTTAATAGTTTCTTCTAATGGTACTAATTTTCCGGCATGACCGGTGAACACTTCAGCAACCTATATAAAATAGATTAGTAAACAAAATAACACAATGAAATATGAATATTTTAATTTATATATACATGTATACAAATATATATATACCTGGAATGGTTGAGATAAAAACCTCTGGATCTTACGCGCACGAGCGACAGTGAGTTTGTCTTCTTCCGACAATTCGTCCATACCTAAGATAGCAATAATATCTTGTAGTGATTTGTAATCCTGTAAGATTTTCTGTACACCACGAGCAACATTGTAGTGTTCAGCACCAATGATGTTGGGATCCATGATACGGGAAGTGGAATCGAGTGGATCAACAGCAGGATAAATACCTATAGTATTAGAAACAGATTATAAATTTTCATGTAATTTAATGTTATTAATTACAAACAAGTAGTTATATTTACCTAATTCAGCAATAGCTCGAGACAATACAGTTGTAGCGTCTAAATGAGCGAAGGTGGTAGCAGGAGCAGGATCTGTTAAGTCATCAGCAGGTACATAAATAGCCTGCACAGAAGTAATGGATCCTTTCTTTGTTGTGGTAATACGCTCTTGCATACTACCCATATCAGTTGCCAATGTTGGTTGATAACCTACAGCAGATGGAATACGACCCAGCAAAGCCGATACCTTCAGAAAAAGCAATTTTTAATAATCAATGTAATATTTTAATACAATTGAATAATGATAATACATACTTCAGAACCAGCTTGAGTAAACCTGAAAATGTTATCAATAAATAGTAATACATCTTGTCCTTCTTGATCACGGAAATATTCAGCAACAGTTAATCCAGTCAAAGCGACACGAGCACGAGCACCTGGTGGTTCATTCATTTGTCCATATACTAATGCTACTTTGGAAGTTTTATCTTTCAATGAAATGACACCAGATTCAATCATTTCATGGTATAAGTCATTTCCTTCACGTGTTCGTTCACCTACACCGGCGAATACAGAATAACCACCATGGGCCTTTGCTACATTATTGATTAGTTCCATAATCAACACAGTCTTTCCAACACCAGCGCCACCAAATAAACCTGTTTAGTTTAATTAATACAAATAAATTGTGCATTATAAATTTAAATTATACTTATTATAAGTATAAATTTTACCAATCTTTCCTCCTTTAGCATAAGGAGCTAGAAGATCAACAACTTTAATTCCAGTTACTAAAATCTCTTGTTCAACAGACATCTCTACAAATTCAGGAGCATCTGCATGGATGGGAGCAAGTTTGTTGGTAGGGATAGGTCCACGCTCATCAATTGGTTCACCAATAACATTAATAATACGACCCAATGTCTCAGCACCAACGGGTATACGAATAGGATATCCAGAATCCAAAACACTTTGTCCACGAACCAGACCTTCAGTACCTATATAATTGCATTTCAATAAATATAAAAAATATGCATATAATTTCATGTATATATTTAATTTTATATTTGAAATATACAACTGCAACATGAAATTACCATCCATAGCAATAGTGCGTACTGTATTTTCTCCTAAATGCTGAGCAACTTCAAGGACCAGCCTAGGGCTGCGATTTTGAACTTCCAAAGCATTAAGAATTGGAGGAAGAGCATCATCAAATTGAACATCAACAACTGCACCAATGACAGCAACAATTTTTCCTTGTGCACCACCTTTGGAATTTGCAGCTTTTGCATAATCTCTGCCTAATGATAAATATATAATTAATTATAATAACTTAAAAAATTATGTATATGATTTATTTCAGAAACTACATAATTATGTAAAGAAATCATACACAAGATAATTATTAATGAAATTTTGGAAAATATTAGATAATCCTTATGAAAGGTAAGTTACATAATACAAACTACATGTGTGTATTTCATTACAAAGTTAAATATTTCATACTTTTTATTGTATTGATATTCAGAAGTTAAATTTAATAACTACTTTTACTGACTACTTGTGTATAGTCTTTCAAAACTTTGTATTAAGTTTCAAATATATCCCATCAATGAACTATAACACGATTACAACTAAAAAAGATAAAAAATATTCTTTATAATATAAGATAGTAAGATATAAGAAACACGACTGCAAGAATACTTAAATCATGCTCGAAATAATAACTGTAACCATATTTTCAAATATTTCCATGTAGTCAGAAATTAATCAATGACCTTAATGCCGCCATGTTGCACAGTAGTTACCACTGCAGTTTGAAGAAATAATATGGATTATATAATCAATACAATATTGTTACCAATATTTAGATGTCAGTTGAGCAAAGACAAACATGACTTTAGTATCATACGAAATAACAATAAATTATAATAACTTATAATAAATAATGAATATCGTATCAAGTACAATCCAATAAAGCACTGTGTTATAATGTGGGCCGAAAGAAAAATTAAGTTATGAAATTTGAAAAATAATTTTTTTAGTACTCACTATTTACTGATAATACCCCTGATATTTTAGTAACTTCATTTTGAAGAAGGGTGGGTTTGACGGCCCTAAGGGCGCCAGTGGCAGCTTTTGATACAGCACTCAACATTGCGACCGGTCAAGTGAAGACGAAAGACCGGAATAATTTCCAACTTGCATGAACCGTATCCTGTACTAACGGCGTATGCGCACGCACAAAATTCTATCTTTGCGCATGTCTAGCGCAGCTTTATTATCGGATCGTTGTACTCTTCCTTAAGTCGTGTTCTTAAAAAAAATTACTTTTATCTGTTCGTTTAGAGAACAGTATGATTGGAGAAAAGTGGTCGTCTAATGAACACTTGGTTTGTTATTATATAATTGTTGTGACTTAGTTCTCAATGTTTTAGATCGTATAGCGTGAATTTTGTAGTCTCGCAAGGAGCCGGTTATTTTATCTTTAATTTAATGTTGATAAGTGTTTAGAAAAATAAGTTCAAAATGGTCGAAGAACATCAAAGACGAGTCACTGAACATACTAATAAAATAGTAGAGGAAATAGATAAATCAACAAGAAAAATGAGGGTATTTTAAGTTTTCTGTATTTTTAGGTTATATCATGAAACATACTTTTAATAATTTTGTTATTAAAAAAATTATATACAAACTAATATATGTATTTATTGCCCATAAATAATATTGGAATTAATAAATTATAGAAGATATGGTATTTAATTTTAGGGTGATGCATATAGATGTGCTGCAAGTTGTTGTGACGACAATACATATAGTATGAAAAAAGTAGAAAACTGTTTAAAAAATTGTAATAATTCCTGGGATAAAACCCAGGAATACATTAGAGAAGAAATGGAAAGAGTTCAAGTATGTTGTGTTCTTTCTTTCTAAATGAAAAATTTAAAAATTAGTGAGATATTTAATAGGTTTTCTTTTAGAATCGATTACAAAGATGTATTAAGGATTGCGAAGATGAAATAAGAGATACAGCACAACCAAATCTATCACGGCACGATATGGAAGAATATAATGAACAACTTGAAACAACAATGAATAAATGTGTAACAAAGTGTGTAGATAATTATTGTAAAATATTGCCTACCTTAGAAAAAAAAATAAAAATATTTTTGTCTGAGTAATATAAATACAATAATAGAAATAAAATTATTAAATTGCAATCTTGAAATGGGAAAGATACTTGACATAAAACTGCCAATGTTTTGTACTTATCATTATGATATAGTTTTACGATTCTGTATTATGTATATATAAAATACAAATACAATTTATAGTACTATTTTGTTATTGTAAGACAACTGATATTGTACAAAATATTGATTCAAACAATATGCATTTAAAAAATATCTATATAAACAATATTTTGTATTATATGTAAGGAAAAAAAAGAACGAATTTCATGATTATTGTATTTATTAATTAATACACTTGATGATTGCAGTGGTACATTTTCATTTTTCTTTTTATTTTTCTTTCTCTCACTCTCTTTCACTCTCTCTCCCTCTCCCTCTCATCCTTTCTATTTTGTTCAACGTAATAACAAATTCACCGTTGCAATTAATATCATTTCTTTATTGTTACAATAGACATTACGCTTATTGCACACTTTTTCATGATATAAAACCATTCCACCACTCTCGCTCGATACAAAATAATCGGTCAAAATATATTGCATAAACTTTGATCTAAATCGTAGAAATCTGTGAATAAATCGTTGAAGTAATAATAATTTAAATATAAATATCAACACAACATAATTCATTTGTTTTTTCATGTGTTCAGGTTTCTAGCCATTGAGCTTAGTATTTTTTTAGTATCTTTAATGTCTGTAATTTTTTCTTTTTGAAAGGATCAGTGTAACATTTAATTTTTGTTATAGCTGCAAAGATTGAGGTGGCTTAGTGCGCTTATTGCGCAATGTATGAGCGAAGAGCTTTTTCGCAATGAACAACTCTTCGCTGATATGCAAACTCGCAAAACTTCGACGAGAGTGATTACATTTCAAATAACGACACAACTTCTCGCTTTTCATTTTTTTGTTTTTTCTTTTATTTTTCTTTTTTTTTTTTTAATACGCGTCTCAAATTCCTAAATGCGACTCGTACATGTATAGATTATGACTCAATGTTGTCAAATGGAATGGCATGAGTTTTTGGAAAATGTTAATTCTCTCAGATGTCTCGAGGTATAAGTGAATGCTGCGGTATTATTTCGCACCTGGCGTCGCACGGATTGAGAAAAAAGGTCTATGTAACATTTTGTATCCCAATCAGTCAGACTCTTCGGACTAGATTTTTTTTTCTTTTAATAAGATTGAGATTACGCGTTTCTTTATCAAACGCTGGTCATATGTGAATAACTGTAGGTACACCTGGTAGAAAAAGAATTGAAGGTACAAGGTGAATGTAAGTTATGGCGTTGTGGCAACAAATTTGGCCAGTGCGTTTCGCCTTATAAAAATTTAAATTCCAATTATCGCGCATTATCTTCTTTTCTCTTTTTTTTTTCGTAGAAACAAAATTAAATTCGACGATGGTATAAAACAAGACAAGTACCTACATATTCTGCTTTAGATTTAGAGGTAATCAGATATCACAAAATACAAATAATAATAGTAATTTTTTAGGAAGTTCCTGCATTTTAACTGTGCAAAATTTAAATGTTAAGCAACGTTCTGAAAGTAATGTAAATCTTACATCTTCCGCACAATAAATTTGATTCGTAACATTTAACTAATGGTTTATAAGACAGAATAGAAATCATTTTGATTCACCGTCAATTAAATTGTAATTTGTTCTAATCTTCAATTAAGCAGTAAAAATTACTTTTAACACGCCACAAGTGGGTATTCTTGAATGCCCGCCCTTGTAAAGCCCAATGCGAAACATATAAGAGTACTGGTCAAGTTTGCCGGAACACCCAATCGAAAAATTCTAAATAGAACTGCGTTTCTTGGTCCTATCCTAAGCTATCACCGATTGTAAATTAGTTTCTTCGATCTTCATTGCTTAATTAATATCGTGTTTAATTGTGCACCTGCAGAATGGAACATTTCAAGTATCCTATCAACAGGTTCACTGTACTATATGCCTATGATCGCGGAGCAAAACAGTCGTTTTCGTAGCTGTGCAACTAGTTTTCACGATCACCAAAATTTTTGCGTGTCTTCATTCTTCGTTCATCTCAAGTTTTCAGAAAATAGTATGTAGTTGTTAACAATTCTGCACTGTATATTAATTATAGGCATTACGAATTCGCTGCGTTGCTTACCGTTATCATCATCGCAACTCGCCTAGTATGGCTGACATAAGGCTTGACCCCGTTGTTACGAATTTTCCTTTTACTTACATCGATATTCAATTTGTACTTTGAAATTGAGTCATCTATTTATTTCCTTCGTGAGCTTTGGTCGAATCCAGTTCCCACACAGTTACTATACTTAACATAAACAAAACTTGGACAACCTTACTATACTTGCAGAAAGATGGACTCGTATACTGTTACTCATGTATCTAGATGTTATATTGATTAGTTTGAATGTTAGACAGATGTTTATCCAATTGATAGCGAAACATTTATTGACGAATTTCAACCACTACATGGCAACTGTTTCAATCAAAGCACAATTTAACCCGCTTATAAAAATTCGAACGTCGCGGACAAGCCTTTTATTTCAATTAAATAATAACTTTGTTAGCCGACCTAGCTAATCTGCATTAAGAAAAAAAATTAAAAAAAAAAAAAAAAAAAAAAAAAAAAAAAAAAAAAAAAAAAAATTGGAAACATCAAACAACAAGGAAGAAAGACTACTGATTTTAAAGAAGAAAGTGCGTATTTGTAGGTAGAGAAGGTAAGTATCTTCGAAGTCGTTGAATACGTGAGAATCTTCAACTTTAATTTTGTTATTTGGCACGCGAGCCTCAAACATTATCGCTTAAACTTTTAATTATAAAACGTGTCAAAATTATGGTAATCCTAATAATAACAAAAAAATCTTGAAAAGATTCTTTTTCCATTATCGCCACTAAAAGTTTTGTCAAAAAAAAGAAAAAAAAAAAAAAAAAAGAAAAAAAAGAAGATAACAAAAGTTCCTTGTTACTGTCTGTTCATTAAATTTCTAATAACAATAAATAATTACGAAAGGCTCTCACGCATTCCTCGGTCTCCTATCATGTACATGTTCTTTTTTCTAAACATTAGGGCTACCCATGATGATTTTTTTTTTTCACGTTGGAAAACAAAAGTTCGGAACATTAAAAACTCCAAGAGAAAAAATATCGAAAAAAATATATAGTCGTATAGAAAGTTACAGAAATAACGCGAGTAGCCCCTTTGCTCTTCGGTTTGCCTTACAGAAAACCAAGTCGCGCTTAAAAAAGGCTTAGAACACACTTTGAATATCGATCCCTGTAGGCGAATGAGACAACTCGCATCCACTGGTGCACGTATTCACCCGCTAACTCTAAAAAGAAGAACAACACAACGTGTTCCCTACTCTCGCTCGCGTACAATATCCGTTTTATTAAATAAAAATGGAACATCTCGTGCGTGTCAAAACAAATTTGTTGTTAACTGCGGAAAGATTAAGCAAAACGTACTTGAATGAGAGAATTTTTTTACATCGCTTAACTAAAATTTATCATTTTTGAAAGAAATTTTATAACATTTGGAATACCAAATATACTGTGCGATATTTTAAAATTACTTGAACATAATATCGCATGATAATCGCATAATTTCAAACAATATCTTGCTTTTTAAATATCCATCATATTCTTAAATTTTACTTTAAGTACATCAAGAGATTCACTTATCACTTGATCATTACCACCAAGAGACAACAATGTATTATCAAAGACCTACGATTCCACTTCCACCCATCTTTAATTTACAAAATGTACTTCTGGTCTTTTTGAGTTAATTGAAATAGTAGTTTTGCAATCGTATGGCGAGCGTCGCACGAGTCTTCCCTTCTTAATGTTTCTCTTAAATCTCATAGTATGTTCGATGCGCCGACCGATTGCTAAGATCTGAAAATCGCATTGTGCACTGATAACTATGTCACATATCAATCTGTGTCAAATTAACGGAAAATAAAAAACAAAAAGTACACTAAATATTTTAAATATTGCAAGAATTAGAAAGTGTTACTTTTGCGATCGGTCCGCGCACAAGATATACTAATTTAATAGCTGCTCCCAATGTGAAAATAGTAGAATTCTAACATAAATCAGATTTGCCTACATGGATCATCTTGACAACAATGCCTTTGTTAGACTTAGTGTTTCACAAAAGGTTTAATGGTTTACCAAAAGGTGTAACCGCCATCTGTTCCTCCTCCTAGAAAGTTTTTCTTTTGCGATATAGCCACGCTGTGACTCGCCATTGCAGCTAATTGGGCAGCATTTGGAACTGTTGGAGGTGGCGGCAAGACAGGTTGCGAGATACTATCAAAGCGATTAGTAGCATCGAACCCATTCTTTAAAAGAATTTAACAAATTAATACTGTTATATAATATAAGAACAAAAGGCATTAAATCTAAATAACTCACAGGCATCACGAGTGTAGGAGGCCTAACTGGAGGCTGCATTGCTGCTGCAGGATAATACGCCGCAGCTGCAGCTAACGGTGGGTAATATTGTAGTGGGCCATATGCAGGATAACCAGCTAAATATCCTGGATATCCTTGACCATACATTGGTTGATACATCTATAGAAAATAATTAGAAATTCCGAAGACAATTTTTAGTGATTCATGTGTCCTTTTTATACCATAATGGAACAAAGTTCTCACCATCGGATGAGTAAGAGTTTGATCATACGTCGGCGGTGGCGGACCTTGTGCTGCGTACAGCTGTGGCTGATTAGGAAATACTCCATACGGTCCAGCGCCTGCAACTATTGTAAAATTCACATATAATCAAATTATCGGAACTCGATGGAATCGACAGATCGATACACAGAGATGATTCTCTTACGTGTACTACCGTAGGTAGCAGGCTGTGCTGGCGCAGGAACAAAACCTGTTGGTGGATGAGGTGTCACCGGGTATGCTGTAACACATGCAATGGAAAATGCAAGTCCGTTCAATTTGTTGGCCATAGGTTTGATCTAAGCCAACGGTACGTGGTACCACTGCCAGAAAGGATAAGAGACGACATGAATTATCGAACAATTGGAAACATTGGAATTGTTCATACATTTTTCATTTTACACACTATGTACCTTATAAATTCCTTCTTGGTTTCCTATTGATCGTATAACTCACGTCCTCAGCATCGAGACATTTTTGATGCTGATCTTTTTCTATTGTACATCATGAACAGGTAAATATTCTATTTATCTTTCAACATGACTTAATTTAATCTATATAGCGCATCAAATATATCTTGATTCTAAAAGTGGTACTCCCACACCCAAGTATATCTTACACATGACATACACCGTTTTTATCAAGGTACTATTCAAAGCTCAAACAATGTTAGTCACTAAATAATGGTGAAAAGAAATAACCGAAAAACGGTATCGTTGCCTTCTTGTTACCTTTAGAGTTTACAGCAGTTCAATCTTATATTCATACAAGTGGAGAATAAGATTGCAATCGAAATGTGTCAAGAAAGAAAAAAAGGAACTAATAATGCATATCCGCGTAAACTTCAGTGGTACAAGACAGGCTTTGTAGTAAAAACATTTACGGCTCTTTCGAAAATCCATGGTCCATCGATACTTTTGCATAATTTTTTGAACTTAAAAAAATAATAATCATTGACCACTAACAGGCTTATACAATTAAAGAATTTTACTTTCAACGATTCTCGAAAGAAGCGTAGTTGAAAGCGAGACACTTGAGAATAGCTTAGCAAACTATACTTCTGATATCTTAATTGTGAATAAATAAACAACGACACATAAATATGTATATATATATTATATATATATAATATAAAATAATATATGTGTGTGTATATATATATATATAATATACAAGAATATATATATATATACATATATATATATATAAACATATACATATATACATACATACATATATATATATATATACATACATATATTTGAAATCTTACATGGAGCAATCTGTGGTACATCTTGTCACTAATATAAGTAAAACTAAAAAGTCTCGAACAATATTCTATTCTTTATACTTTTTTCTGGTGTTACTTTGTTTTCTTTTTTTAAAAAAACAGACAAATAATCGCGTCGAATGGTACAAAAAACAGAAAAGCTTTGTCGAATTCTTTTCACCTTCTTAGAATATAGTACACAGAAGAATTGTACAAACAAGTCTAACAATACAGCCACTACGGGTGATATGTAATGTTCGACAGTCAAAAGAATCGTCAGGCAGTCAGTCAAGAATTAAAAAAGAAGTAAAAGAAATAAGAATAATAAGAATAAAATGAGAAACTATTCTCAAATGAAAACTCGCGTTAATTGACCTACCTTTACTTCTAAACTAAGATATACGAAACCGATCTCAAAGCAAATAGCGTTACGCAATCAAGGTAAAAGCCAAATACATTCGTCTAAATAGTCGAACCTTTGAAGATTCATGAACTGACATCACATGTCTGAAAAGATAAATGCAACGAATAGTTTTGACGGAAAAATATTATTTTTAGCGCCTCGTATTTTAAAAGAAAATATGTATAATCAGAAACTCGATAGTTTTCTTGAAACTTCTTTGACCTTCTTAACAACTGCTACAAGCAAGATAAAGACATTAAATTTTAAAGAATTCTCAAGTATGGTTTAATACAGTTATGAAACATTCAGGTTCGACTAGATCAAAAAAGAAAAGAAATGACAAAAAACAGAGCTAAAATAAAGCCAGGAATAAATAGGGTAAATGGATTGTTCCAAAAAGTGATGTTAAAAAACAAGCCCAGTAATTAAAATTCGATTAAGTGAGACAATCTTTTTCCTTTTTCTTTTTTGTAACCGTACAAAAATCCAATTAAATTTAATTTTCATTCGAATTAACTAAGGAATCATTATTGCTTTCGGGCGGTGAATGTGTAATTTATACAATGAGTACAGTGGTACGATGAAAAAAGGTATACATATATATATATGTCCGTAATATGTACATATATATATGTATATGTATATCAAATTCCACACATTCAAAAAGTTGTGACAAGATTCAGCAAACCACAAATTTCTGCAAATATCCATAAATAAAGATCAAACATGATTAAAAGTTCTTTATAATTGCGTAATATATATTATTAATTGGGCGCTATTCGCGTAAACATTGCCACGAGTAGATTTTCGTCATCGGCCACTCTCATTCTCGTAAGCAAACACGAGAACGCCCAATTTGATTTTTTTTCTGTTTTGTTTAGTAGATACTATATTATGCCCCGTTCCATTGCCATTTAACATACGCAAAATACACTAATCACACGTTAATTTCTCTTTCTTCTAAAGCAATTATTTTTAAAGCTAAATGAAACCCATTGATCTCATCATTTGGAATCTTTCGCTAAAACAACAAATTCTGACATGAATGTAGATCTAGCACGCGTATGATAAATAGCTCAAGCCCAGTGGCAGTGGATGGACATGTTGTACTCTAACATAGACGTCAGCCCACACCAAATTGTCCATGATAATTGAACACTGGTCCAACGTGATGGAAACGAGCAGTCCCCCTCTTAAATTATGTTATATTACGCTTTATCTTGTCTTATGTGTAGGATGTTACAGTTTCCTTCATTCTCCGCCTAACTAAAAGTAATCTTGTCTTCTTGTAAATTTTTCAAATCGTAAAAGAGGAGGAACATATATCCATCGATCGGACCAGTCTTCAATCGAATAATAAATTTATGTGTCAGTGCCACGGTGCAAACAATCATCGAATCCAATAACAATTTATTATAATATTAATATGCTAGTACGAGTTTATTGGGTAACTTGAACAATGTTCTCTTTTTTTTCATGTTCACCTAATTCCTTTCTTTCTCTTTTCCCTCTTTCTGCCTCTCCCATTTTTTCATCCCCTTTCTTTCTGCTCTTTATTGGACCCGCCTTTCTCTCGTACACGCACGCATTCCCTCTCATCTTGCTCTCTGTTATTACTTTCGAAACCTAATTTGTCCCAATGAGCATATTCGACCTATATTTACCATCAGAAACGAATGGTCTTTCGCGTTTTATCCGATAACGCAAAAAACTAGGCAAAACCTGCCCATTAATTTGTTACATCGCGATTCATCTCTTTTTCTTTAATTTTTTTATTTTTATTTTGTTTTTATTAATTAGACGACTCTATTCATCGAAATGCTTCGGTGGAACAGTATTCAAACCTCGGAGAACCCAGCGACCAAGGGATGACCGATACTATTAAGCGACTGAATTATTTACAAAACTTTATTCGTGTAATACTTAAAGAAGAAAAGAAACGGATCTATTTTGCCATATTAATGTAAGATTACTCAAGAACTAGTCATTTTAGCCATGAACAATTTTAAGAAAAAATTTAGTACCATACAGAACTTAAATTACTTTCAGTATTAACGTATCATTAGCTTGATTGACTGTTTTCCATGTTTATATTAATATACTAGTATATATTATATAATGAAACTTCAAAAAATTCATGTACCATATTCAAACCTTCAGTATTTCAATAAATTTGTTGTAATCTCGATAGAGTTTGCACATAAATGTCATTAATTACATCAACGCGTTAGAATACTGTAACTTCTATCCATTTACTATTTTTTCTTTTGTTTTTAATCTTGATATATTCCATCGACTTTTTATCGAACATGTCTAGGTCGCTGGTTTAAAAAAAGAGGTACCCTTATATTCGAGACAACTCTCGATGAATATCGCTGAATATTATCTCATATTTAAGCTCACTATTAACAGTATATATAATATTCTGCCAAACATGCACATGCAACTCAAAAACGCTCGAGAGATTCCTATGACCTTGTAGCAACAATTCAACTTGACTAATTTTTAATTACTTCCCAGAACTTTCGTTGAAGTAAGAAAAATAATTTCGAAATGTTAATGAATTCGATGGTTCGTTTACGACAGGAATAGGAACGTCTCTGTATCGAATCTAAAAGATGATTTACAAAATTCTTCAACTACACAACAATTAAAAACTGACGAAAACAATTCGTTCGATTCCTTCTTAACAACACCAGATTTTTTTCTGTAAAAAGAAAGAAATAGGGGGTTGGGGGAGGAGTTACCATGTACTCTCAAAAAAGCTCATATTTCTAAACACGGAAACTTCTTTTATTGGTAAGTTAAGAAGGCAACGAGCGAGGAAACATAAAAAATAGAATTATGAAGAAATCTACCACATGTTATGAACATGCATAACGGTATGACGTACGAGCAACTTTTACAGGACAAATTTCATAGAAAGTTCATATGTTTCATTCCTTTTCTTTCTTTTTCTCTGACTGCTTCTCAGTTAGAAATTATAAAAGAATATCAATCATCGAAGATGCTCGTACGTTATGCGCCTTTCTAATAATGCATTTCAAGCATGCAAACTAAAATACAAATATATGAAAAATGATCAAAGCTATATATATATATATATATATATATATATATATATATATATACATACATACATAATAAAGTAGATAAGGATGCAAACAAATATAATTTCACTCGAAATTTCACTTCTTATATATTGTATACATCTAGAAAACATTTGCAAAACGCGCTTCATTACTTTGATTTTTAATCAATAAAGCATGTTTTCATTTTATCATTTTTATCTCCTTGTTCCCCTTTATTATTCGATAATTTAATTATGATCTTATTTATATTCTACTCTTTTACTTTTAGAGGCATTGCCAAGAGAAAATATTGATGTATAATTTGTGTAAATGTATACTCACTATATTTTTTGCCTTTTTTGTCTGTTTCCAATTAAACGGAAATAAATTAATGCGCTACTTTTATTGAGGAAATATTATACTTTTTCCTCGTATATCTACTACAATTACGTGCAGAATTAACTACAAGTTTCATTTTCGATATCATTAATTTACCTCTAATTTATTTCATAAAATTGTTAAGAGTGGAAAACAATTGATATGCAATAATTTAACTATTATATACTTATCTCTATCTTCTTTTTTTTTGCTTATCGAGAAACTTGTAGCCCGTATCAAAGCAACATGCACTATTGTTAAAAGTGAGCTACCAAGTTTCTATTGAGTAAAAATATAAATACGCTGAGCTTAAATACAGCATTCGTGTCCACCCCATTAATTCACTATGTCATCTTGTGACGAATCATTCCTAAGAGAATATTTTTGTTTATTTATTAATAAAAAACGGAAGCAAATGAATATATATCATCATATACTTAAACTCTCTCTTAAAAATAAGTCACAAGGAACACAGTGAGCATTGAAACAAAGAAATTAAAAAAAAAAGAAAAAAAATGAAAAAAGAGAAAAATAAGCAATCAGCCAATACCACGATTTCATTACGAAATATTTGTACACCCATATCAATATCTTACGTTCATATTGATTTGGATATATAGCAGCCGACGTCTCCAATTCAAAAAGTATAACTGTCCGATCATGTTTAAACTCATTCACAAAAGACTTACAAATACCATTGATGATCCTAAGCGATCTCTGTTTATGAGTGTATTCGTTTCTAATATCGCGAGATGACAGCTTCGCTCGGAAAGCCTGCGATTAAACTTTTACGCGATCAGAAGTACATATCGTTCAACTGTACAAGAGCGTGCATACTCGTATACTACACTTCTGTTTTCTTTAGATTGGTAGATTTTCAACAAGCAATCTCTTAACGCATGGAACAGATTTTCTCGATCCTTTAATACCTGCTGATCGTGGATTAATAACCAACGTAGGCCTGGAAAAATGAGGAAACTGACATTAGTCTATTGGAGATTGATTTAAGTAACGCGACATTCCCATAATTTTCTCACGATATGTACAATTTTCAATATTTTAAATTGTCTACGAACCAGGCATTCCACGATCTCTTGGTATTACAGTCGGCTAATAAGATTAATGACAATAGGAATTGGAAGAGGTTGGACAAAATTTGATCGCTTGAAACATCGAAGGCGGGAAAATAAGGACGAGTCGATGTTAGACGTCTTTCGTTTTCTTCACTTTTTGAATCAGAAGGCGCACGGTGCGTCTATATCTTCATATATATATTTGGTGGAATATATATATATATATATATATGTCTGTGTATATGTATAAAAGTGTATATGTATGTGTGGTGTGTGTACGTGTGCGTGCGCACGCGCGCGCGCGCGTGTATATGTATACGTAATATATCTCGGTATATAAACACGTAGTGAGTTAGGTAATATATAGAGTAAGGTGAGGTTAGATACGTGGCTTAGGCTGCGCGAACGCCGGTCTCCGAAGCTCCACCTACTGACTGGGATCAAATCGTCTTTGTAATGGTCCGCTGCAAACATATTGACAGCCACAACTGTAGGCACTATCCTTCGGTTTTTTAGCGGCTATACCGTCACGGTAATATACTCGCAGATTTGCACCAGTATAATCCTCAATTTCTCGTATTATTTCTCATTGTAATCATTAACAGTGTATACTGATCTACTTACAGACTAAATTTTTACACATCCCTTATATGCTATGCTCTGTAATCATACATTTGCCTTAGGAACAGAGCGGACTGGATTAGGAATAATCACATAAGTGTCCGAGCTGTTAATTAAGTACAATAGTAGATTACTATAAAATTACGTAGTCATGGTCCAAGTTGTACCTCAAGTAAATATTTCCATCAGCATGTAAAAATCTCGAAAGTCAATAGTAATATTAAATTACATACCTCACTCGTACGAGTTATTAAACAGCTTCTTTATAAAAGCTTTTATTAAATATTATATTATATTATAGTAATTAATTTTAGTACTCATAATACATTTTTTAAGGTTACTGAAAAAATTAATTAAAAACATTCTTCTATGAAATATATTTTATGATATATTAATTTAAACTAAAATACTTAATACATAAAAAAGATATAATTTGAAATTAATATTTAATGACCTTCAAATAAAATGCTTTTAAGATATAATAAATCTTAATTTGTCAAAATTATATTATTTATGTATTTTAATTATAAAGTACAAAAATAATACAATTATTTCAAACAGATTTGAACAAATTATTCATTATTAATCTTAGTATCTATAATCACTACAAAATATAAAGAAAATGTAAATGACTTCCAAAAGTCTATTGTATAATATCACATTTCACAACTTTATTTATCTTATTTCTTCTGAATGTGTCAATAAAAACATTATGAAAAATTTAGTCACATACTGCAATACCATTGTAAATGTGTATTGATACAATAAAAGTTTATTATATTTTCTTTGTCATAGTAATATTATTAATACTACTAAATTTTTAATATTGAAATATTTCTGATAATTGACTTGACATCTTTTGTCAAATATAAAAATATTTATACTCTGCTATTCAAAGCAACATAAGTTTTTAAATTGTTACCTTCAGCAAGAAACAGTGATACACACCAATAACAAACAATTTCAGTGTGATAAATTTTTGTTGAACGTGTGAAGCATATATTATTCGTATTATACATACAAAATCCAATCTTAGATACACATGATAACTGATTAAATATAAGCCAAGAATATAGTTATATATGAAACGAAATTAATAGTACTAGAAACATTTCATAAAATTATAATGTTTTGATAGCATACGATTTTTAATACAGAGTCATCATGAAAATTATTCAAGACGAACTTTGGAAGCCATTTTGTATTTCCCACACACAATGCGGTATTGATTTATCTGTCACTGGGCAGAAATTCAAGTTTTTCTCATCAAGTTAAGATGAGATTTTACATAATAATGGTACAAATTTTGACCGAATTTGAACGTGCACCATTCTTCACAGGTGTCGGATAGCATTGCTAACATAAAAAAACTCGCCGTCGTACGAGTGACAAGTGGTATTCTCGACTTGAAAACACGAGATATTCTTAACGTGTATAACATATATTACTAGCCATATTACACTATTTGGATATATAGTTACCTTTCTTGTCGGTCATTATTGCTTAGTGTTTCACAATTTCTAGAAAAAAATACGTTATTCCTAATTAAATCACCGATTTAAGTTACAATACTGAGGAGACAAGCAACGGCTGTGACACTTGACGGACACTAGCGCCCTTTATTGAGCCTCCCTGTGGCTCGCTCGATGCTTCAATTCTATTGGTTCAAATTTTACATGCTATCATCCAATGGATATAAAGCAACCCATTCGTGATTGAGCGGCAAAAATTCAATAAATTTTGTTGTATAACAAATTCCTTCATAATTATGTATTAAAGCAAAAATTGCATAAATATAAATTTTATATCTAAATAGTTAAAAAATGGAAAGATCTTATAATAATCCTTCCTGATAATCAAATTGCTTTGGACATCGGTTTTAATCATTTTTTAACATAAAATGTTTGAAGTTATATGCAATCATAAAAAAATAATTAATATTATTAAGAAAAATATTAAATTTTTTTTTAATTTTCCACAAAAAGAAAATTTTACTCAAATTTTCCTCCGTTTTATATCTTATAAATTTTAACTTATTTATTTTACATTAATTACGTATTAATTTATTTTTTAATTATATAGTCCTTTATGTTTATCAAAAGTTATTTGTACTAGTTGAAAAGTTATGTAGTTTAGAGATTGCCACATTGTTAGATGAAATTACATCGCTTGCATTGAAAAGTTAACCATAGTCGCAATACGTATGAATTGTAAGCAATTGTATTAAAGTGTGATTTTTGTGTATAAACTTGTTTGATACAGAAAAAAAAGTTATTATATTTTATTTAATTAGAAAAACTTTTGCTACTTATTTGTGTTTTATAATTTTTTTTAAACATATTCTATTTCACATGGTTTAATTATATCGAACATTACATTGTGACATTTGACAATGTTTAATCCAAATATTATACGTTTATTATAACTATTTATAACAAATGTTATTGTAGGAAATAATCATTAATGGAATGATATATAATATCCATTTTATTGTCTATTAATTATCGAAAGATAACAAATATTTAAGATATAAATTGTATAACCTCTTAAAATAGCATTTTATAGCATACTATACCACAAACACTTGGATAAATTAATTTAGTAAATCTTCAATGGCTCATGATAAAAAAGCTGTAAGGCGAAGTCGATCACGTGAACGTGATCGTGAACGTGAAAGAGATCGAGAAAGACGAGATAGAAGACGATCAAGAAGTAGATCAAAGGATCGGAAAAAAGATAGAAAACGTTCAAGATCGCGTGAAAGATCAAGGGATAGGTCACGCGAGAAAGATAGGGATAGATCAAGAGAAAGACGAGAATTTAAGGATAAATCAAAAGATGAGAAAAAACGTAAACCAAGTCCTATATTTATCATAGAAGATGAAAACAAAAAAGAAAGTAAAACTGAACCAAAAAAGGAAGAGGAAGAAATTAATGAAAAACCAAAGCCTCCACCAAAGAAGGAACCACTAAGTTTAGAAGAGTTATTGGCTAAAAAGAAAGCAGAAGAAGAAGCACGTGCTAAACCAAAATTTTTAACTAAAGAAGAACGCACTGTTCTAGCATTGCAAAAACGTCAAGAAGAAGTTGAAGCTATAAGAAAGCAGCAAGAGGATATACGTAAATCTTTTCATAGTGAAAGTATTGGAAAAGATAGGGAATGGGATGATAGGGATAGGTATATAATGATTATTTATATAAATTAAATGTATAAAATAAATGGTTATTTGGTAACTCACAATTCAACAGGCGTAGAGATGGTCAGCGTACAAGGGAAGATGAGATTAAAGACAAGGATAAGGAAAAAGAAGTAGAAGCTATTAAGGAACGTTATTTAGGATTAGTGAAAAAGAAACGTCGTGTTAGAAGATTAAATGACAGAAAATTCGTATTTGATTGGGATACCTCAGAAGACACATCTGTTGATTACAATAGTATTTACAAGGAAAGACATCAGGTTCAATTCTTTGGTAGAGGAAATCTTGCTGGAATAGATATTAAAGCCCAAAAACGAGATCAAAGTAAATTTTATGGAGAACTATTGGAAAAAAGAAGAACAGAAGCTGAAAAAGAACAAGAGAAGTATGTATACTTTTCTAAAATTCAACTATATGAAGATATTTAATCTTTATATGCATTTCTTATTTTCTTTCTTTTAGAATGAGGTTAAAGAAAGTAAAAAGGAAAGAGGAGAAACAAAAATGGGATGACAGACATTGGTCAGAGAAAGCTCTTCATGAAATGACAGAAAGAGATTGGCGTATATTTAGAGAGGATTATAATATTACCATAAAAGGAGGACGTATACCTGATCCAATTAGATCATGGAAAGAATCAGGATTTCCAAAAGAAATTCTTGATATTATTGATAAAGTGGGATATAAAGATTTAACACCTATTCAGAGACAAGCTATTCCCATAGGACTTCAAAATCGTGACATTATTGGAGTTGCTGAAACTGGTTCTGGAAAAACTTTAGCATTTTTAATTCCATTATTGTTATGGATTACTAGTTTACCAAAAATTGAAAGATTAGAAGAAGCAGATCAAGGTCCTTATAGCATAATCTTAGCACCAACTCGGTATGTGTTTTTCACTCATATCATACATCTTTTTAATTTATTTTTCAAAAAAATCATTAAAACTTTTTTAGCGAGTTAGCTCAACAGATTGAAGAAGAAACTAATAAGTTTGGGCAACCATTAGGTATAAGAACAGTAGTTGTTGTAGGTGGTCTTTCGAGAGAAGAACAAGGATTTAGATTGAGAATGGGTTGTGAGGTATTAATCTTATGTAATAAATAACATTATTTATGATTTTCGATATTTTATATTAACTGTTATCATCATAGATTGTTATAGCCACACCAGGACGATTAATTGATGTATTAGAAAATCGATATTTGGTTTTAAATCAGTGTACATACATTGTATTGGATGAAGCTGATAGAATGATAGATATGGGTTTTGAGCCAGGTATGACTCTTGATTAGTTGTTGACTAGTTTATATGTATATCTAAATATTAGTTATTTCATATATTTGTAGATGTCCAAAAAATTTTGGAATACATGCCAGTTACAAATCTGAAACCAGATAATGAAGATGCTGAAAATGAAGAGAAACTTTTAGCTAATTACAATACAAAGAAAAAATATAGACAAGTGAGAAATAATATCTGATACTACAATTTATCTAAATTTAAACATAAATAATTCATAATATTTACTGTTATTTTCAGACTGTAATGTTTACGGCAACTATGCCTCCTGCAGTAGAACGATTAGCTAGAACTTATTTAAGACGACCCGCTGTTGTATACATAGGTAGCGTAGGAAAACCGACAGAAAGAACAGAACAAATCGTACATATAATGGGTGAAGCCGATAAGCGTAAGAAATTAATGGAAATACTTAGTAGAGGAGTTGAGCCACCAGTAATTATATTCGTTAATCAAAAGAAGGGAGCTGATGTTCTTGCAAGAGGTTTAGAAAAATTGGGTGTATGTTTAAGTTTTAATTATTTTACAGTGTTTTAAACACAATGGAAATATATGTTACTCACATTGTAAAACTGAACATTTAATATATTTTATTTCATTTTTCAGTATAATGCATGTACACTTCATGGTGGTAAAGGTCAAGAACAAAGAGAGTATGCACTTGCATCTCTAAAAAGTGGCAGTAAAGATATTTTAGTTGCCACTGATGTAGCAGGTCGTGGTATTGATATTAAAGATGTATCTATGGTCATTAACTATGATATGGCTAAGACTATAGAAGGTAAATACATATTGTTAAAAGTAATTAAGCTGTAACAAAAACTTATATGTTACTTCTCACCTGTTTCTAGATTACACTCATCGTATTGGTAGAACTGGTCGTGCTGGAAAAGCTGGTCTTGCCATTTCATTTTGTACTAAGGATGATAGTCATCTATTCTACGATCTAAAACAAACTATTCTTGCAAGTCCTATATCTACCTGTCCACCTGAATTACTAAATCACCCAGATGCTCAACATAAACCTGGTACAGTGGTTACGAAGAAACGTCGAGAGGAGAAAATATTTGCCTAAAAATAAAAAGTATCTATTTATAAGCATTTGTTTATAATTGATATGTATGTTTATTTCTTATATACAAGTACATATTTTTTTATAGAAAATATATAAAATATAGATAAAGTATGTGTGTAACAAACAAAGTAAATAAATAAAAATGTAAATAAATACATTTTACGGAAATAAGTTTTTAGTTATCATTACAAATTAGTTTAAAATTAGTTAAAATTCATATTTTTTTAATTAATTCTAAATTATGAGACTATATTTTAAAAATTAAAAATAAATATATTAATTATTACTTCGATAGTTCCAGTTTATTTCATATTTATTGCAATTTTAGGTATCTTTAAAAATATACATATTTTTATTTCAAATTATTTATCTTCTTCATTAAAATTATTTATTGTTAATAATTAAGACTTATGTAATACTTTTTTTATCGTACTTTTTGTACTACATTTTGTAATTTCATTAAACAGTTATAATCAAGGAAGAGGAGCAGGTGGAGGTATATATTCTCCGTCAACTTTACATTCTTCTTCCCAATTATCTGGGATCATTGGTTTTAATATCTGTACAAACTTTTCAAGAGGACATGCTGTTGTACATCCAGGAATAGTTAAAGGATATGGTTCCTGTTTAGTGGTATTTCTTAATAATATCTAAGAAAAATAGTATATGAAGATAATAGAAATTTAAAAGATAATAGAACATTTTAGTTATTTTACAATATTCTTTACCTGAACATTCCATTCGTCATTATTTTCATGCAATTCAATCATTATCATTACATTATAATGTGGCATTTGATTGTTCCATACATGCATGACATCCATTAAAGTTACCATAGTACTATCATGACCGACATACATAAACATTTTCCTTGTTTCACTTAAGGTATTATCTTTCTTCGCTAACATATCGGTAATAATTTTTTTAAGAAAAGGTCCACCTTTGAGTCTTCTAAGATGATTATCATAAACATTAAGTTTAAGATCGTATAATGTAAGCGGTAGTAGTTTATCAGGATAATATTCTTTAGTCCAGTTAGGAAGAATTAAATTCATGTGTTTCTAAAATAAACTTTATAAAATTTCTATGTCATAATTTTCATTATTTTTTTCTTAAATTAATACAAACCTCTGCCGTTAATGTTCCATAAATGGAACCGACGTCACTCGGAGTTAAAATCACCATACCTGTTAAATTAGTTAATTCTTCGTAAAGTCGTTTGTTATCGTTTTGAATTTGTTGAACTTCTGACGAATTCATAATTGCGTATCTTAATTTAACATATTGTGGACATGTATCCCATATTAACATTAGCTATAGGCATAGAAAATTTCATTATTAATTACTACGAATATGATATTCATATTCTTCAGTGTAAAATAAAATATGTACCGTATCTTCCGAACGCGGTTGATAAAATAAGGTAACAGGTTGCCAAGCTAAATCAGGTTTGAAAGACTGTTCTTCAGTTGGTTTCCATAAAGCTGCAGCTTCTAACATAGCAGACATTTTTGTACGATCGACTGCGGTGCATTGTAAATAAAATATATCAGGACTGTATGTTGGACCTAAAAAATTATCATACCGTTTTCGCAGGAAAAGACCTTGATTATACTGATTTCTTCTTCCTTCCTACATAGAATTATTTATATTGATAATAAAAATGTTAATATAGTAACAAAAATCGTATAAAATATTACATTTGTCAATTGACCCCAACCATACGGCTCCATTGAATTATTGAGATAAGGGTCATTTGGATAAGTATCTTGTGGTGCTCTGTCTCCATGCCTCAGTACCTAAAAATTTATTGTTAGAGATTTTATATCTCGTCTATAGGTCATATGATAACATTGATCCAGATGCAAATACGATTGTAAACTTAAATATGCATGTGTAACATTTCATACATAAAAGAAAGAAAATAGCATTATCAAAAAGTGTCTTTAATATGTTTTATATTCGATTTTATTATATTTACCACTGTTAATAAACGAAGAGTATCTTTTCCGATTTCTTTATCAATTTTATCATTACTTATACTACCGTTTTCAACTGGTGTAGGCAATTCTAGAAGAAAAGAATATATTTTAAATCATAATTTCAAGGATATTTTGAAACTGAACACTCGAATATTACAAATAGTCACAAATACAGAAATACCGATATATTTTTTTTATGTTTTGTTGTTTCAAAAAATGAATACACATTTAGAATCTGGTACACGATATATAGAAACTAAATATGATTTGTAAAATTATAAAAAAAAAATTACCCGAAGTTAAGCATATGACACCAAACAAAAACAAAAGTTTAAAAACAGTCATTATTAAAAATTATTAAATAAAATTTTATCGGGATTTTTTATGTACGACTGAACTTCCACAAGTTCCTACGGGCAGAACGAACGCGTACTGGGACCTTCAGAAGTGTCAGCAGGTAAATCCAACTTCCCCACCATATAAAGGACAGTATTATACAACATAATGTTACTCACAATAAGTGTATGTTGTATATCCAAGTGTCTAACATTTGTTTCATTCATATGAATACTACATAACGTACTGAATAATATATGATTACCTCGTACGTATTTTTCATATTTTACATATCGCTTGCACTTAGTGAAACCTAAAAAATAGAAGATAAATTAGTAACATGTTAAAAGCATTTTAAAATGATTTGTTCGAGTTTAAAATTTTGTTTAAATTGTAAATTGAAAGCGCCGTCTTCACTAGTTTAATTTAATGATGTTTAGTCAGCGTATTTTTAATCTTGTTTGAATGTACTACGAATAATATATTCGTTTGAAGGAAGTATAAAAGAAGCAGCGATTACGTTGTTATGCAATAAATGTGGTGGTGGTTGCATAGTATGTTTGGTATAAGTGTAAGAATGTTTGTGTGGAAGAATGTATGTGTGTGACGAGTATGACTGAGAGTCGTGAAAAAAAATTAGTGCATGAATGACAGTCATCAGAAATAGACGTTGTGAGAAAGGGTCGTGTATAGATTATATCGCAGTAAGAAGCGAATCTATTTTATGTGATTTGATTATAATTTATATTGTGTTATTAAACTGTTAAATAAATATTGTTATAAATTAATCCATTTACTCACAATAAATACATCAATTTGTAATGGTTATTATTATTATACTGTTATGCTAAATTGACTATCGAATTATATATTTTATAGAAAACATGTACTAACGAGGCTATATTATAATTGCGCTATTATCCTTGAAAGTGAATGTTGCGAAATTAGAACAGATTTAAAATATTAGAATGTTACTAATTCATTGTAGAGATTATATCGATTGTAAAAGCAGACTGTAATTTTTGAAATATATGAATTCGTCCTTGTTAAGTAATGTTAAAATCTTAATCGCGCAAAAAGAAAGAAGAAAATTGAATACTCGGAACCGGTATTGACCTGTTTTTAATGAGATACGAAGGTAATAGCGACATTATAACAGTTAAACAGTATCGAGTATAATAGAAAGAAATATTTTAACCCATAACGAGAAAAATTTTAATCATGCTTAAAAAAAAACATTATTACCGAATATATTAGAATGTATTAAAACAGGAATAATAAACCGTAATTACGTTTTTAATGAATAATGATAATGCATAATAGATATTTATATAATCCTTAGTTCGCAATAGTCATCTACACTGATTTTAACTATAAAGAGTTAGTTATAAGGTTCTAATAGACGACTATTAGAATTTTCGGAATATTAAAAGCGATTATTCAAAATGTTAATATTCAGAACAGAAAGAAAAAATATAAAATAATACGAATATTGTACATATTAATTAAGCATTACAAATATTTCTTTAAGTTTGAAATATTGTTATAAATAAAAAAGAAGGTAACGGATATGAAAAAATTGCATCCAAATAATTTATTTTGGAATATTTATTTCGAAATAAATGCTAATCGCAATATTTCAAGCTTGAAATTTTTTTTATTATAATTATTATACTGAGATATATAAAAGAAAGAAAAATACGTTAATGTAAAAATATGATAAACGTTAAATAAATCATTTTATTTTAAATAGAAAAATTTTATTAATTTCCATTTTGGAGAAATCTTTCTAGTATTAATCTTTTGTCATTTCTTATTGTCAAGGCAACGACATAATTAATCAAAGTATTCACTTATTTTACCTAAATATCTTTCAATCGTTACTCCGTGTACAAGTTTTTATAGGTATCTACAACTATTGATTTCCCTCAACGCGATCCAAAAATTCCTTATCGTTGATTAGAAACCTCTGAGATTAAAGTTACGTATGCAAGTATTTCCGTGGAGTTAAAAAACATTAAAAACGCCGAAAACGTAGTTTTATTGAAAAGACCTGAATCTGTAGATACTAAAAACGCTTCAGCCGTGGATCGTATAAACGAGAGTAGTCGAACGGCGGTGTCGAAACCCCGGAAATCTCGTCGCAAGAAGCAAAAAAACGCTACAGCCAATTCCAAGGTTTCTTTTTAAATTTCTTACCTATTATTTTTTAATTTTCATTCTTCAATTATTTCTTGATTAAGTATTACCACTGCTGATCTTTCCTTTTTAAAAAATACTATAAAATTTATAGATATCATTTCTAAAAACCATTAAAACGTTAGAAAACACACACACACACACACATAGAAAGGAGATCCAAAAGTGTAATGTCCAAACTGGATCACAGGCAGTGAATCAACAACCATGTTCTATATCAATAATTCAAAATCAAACTACCTCGACGGCGCCAATGCGTCTGAGATCTCTTTATACAACGCACAGTTATCACGCACAAACAGATGAAACTAATTTCCAAGTACTTTACTTAATAATTAATATGATTATCGATTTTTACAGTTAAAAGTAAAATTCATTCATATTCTTTAGCGATACAGTGAATTTCCCAAGTATTTCGAAGCACCGCCGTCAGAACAATGGGGAGGATTAGCTAGTGCAACAGCATTTTCTAATTCAACAGCACTTTGGCGGCAACCACGAAATTCTAAAACTATTGCACCACACTACGAAGAAACATGTATTTACGCAGAAAACTGGAGGGAACATGACACCGAAGCTGTTATTGTAACTACACCGCATGGTACAATTTCATTAAGACTTCACAACAGAATTCGGGTTGACATGACGATCGATCGTGCAGTTAGAGTAATTAATTTTAAGGTACCTTCTTCTTTTCTATTTTATAACAATTTTATTTTTCTATTTCATAACAAAATTTCTGTTCCAAAGAAAACTTACTGTCGCGATTAAAACGTCTATATAAAAACAACATAATAACATGAGCGCACAGTATCATAAATGGAAAATAATTTTTAATACTTACGTGATTATTATCTGTATTGCATTTATTGTCAGCGTAGAATAATATTGTATTATCGTTGAGTGGATCTGGAGCAGCTGCTGCATTACTCCATCCAAATGGAAGAATATATCAGTATGGATCACGAGTTGAAATCCTGGCCCATGATGCCCATGGCAATAACAAGTTAGTGGTATCTATAACATCATTAAAATATTATTAACAAATATTATCCTCCATCAGGTATGCAAAAATGTGGTATAAAGGAGTGAGCTTCACTTCAGAGCAATGTGCTCTGGTTTACTTAGTTGACACAGCAGGTACAAGAACAACTACAGATTCATTTTCAGATATGAGTCAGGTATGAATAACATTTTGCTCATAAATAAAAAATCATTGTATTAAAAAAAAAATGTTTAACTTTTAGGACTTTTCTCTAAGTGTATTTTATTCACGTTCCCGACATGGTCCAGCATGTTTACAAGAAGCTACAGCAGCTTTAAGTACTGCTCAATATTGGTTAACTAACGAAGGTGTAGAAAACTGGATTATTAATAATGTTAGAGTTTCGCAAACGTCTGATGGTCTTGTCAGGTAATTTATTAACAATACTAATCATAAAAAGAATTATACAGTCATATCAATCAATAAGAATATGAATTTTCCTTTTATTAGGATTGCACGAAATAGTAACAAATATCAATTACGAACATCACCTAGTAATGGTACAGCTTCATTAACAACGCCATTTTTACATTGTACCGCATCTCTTGGTCAAACGTCTCATCTTTTTGTGCGCCGTGGTGAACGACGTATGCATTATGATGGAACTAGTTTTATTGTACGAAATGCGGGCCATAGTGCTGGTTTCGACGATAACAATCAACTGAAAGTTTATTAAAAAAAATTTGGTATGAACTTATTGCTGCAAGCTTTATAAATGTTTATTGACGGCAATAATAACACTTATATTCAGTATATAGATTTAATTTTAATGCCGTAATTATACATAAAACTAGATAAAAATGAAAAGTTACATCTTTGAAAACTAGTTTCTGATAAAGTAACTTATTTGTGAAATCTATAATTCATTTAACTCAGTTTTTAAGTTCAGAAATTTCATTCTATTTGAAAGATGTTTAGTCATTTAATTGAATTATCTTTGCTTAAAGTCTGTGCAAAACACAGCTATAATAAGATGGAGTACAATGTATTCTACAAAAAGTTTTCTTTAAATTTAGAATGATTGATTCACTAATTTGTTTCTTATACTTATTTTGTACATTTCCCAATAAAAAACAATTTAAAAAAAATCTATTTATTATAATTTTTATATAAATTATAAGCATGCATATAGTGTTTATTCTATACTCCTATAAGATAATATACTTACAGGTAAAAGATATGTTCCTTCTTTTTTAGTTTGACTATCAATCAAAATTTTTTAATTAATCAGAACTAGAATCAAATTCTAATATTTCATCTTCTTCAGATTCACTTGACTCTATTTGAAAACCATCATCAATCAATGATTTACGTTTGTAAGTACGTTTTCTAAAATGTTAGAATACAAAATATTAAAATGTAAGAAACATACAATGAATGTATTATTAATACAAATTTACATACAATTCAGACTTTTTTTGTGTCTCTTTGGAAACTGAAGAACTACAGGCTTTTTTAGAACTGAACATACTTTTTATATGTTGATTTCTTCTCTGTTCTTCGAATTCTTGAATATTATTAATAATGTCTTCAGCTATACTTGAATTGAAGAATTTTAAACTAGTACCTGATTCATTTTCTAACTTTAATGCTTGTTTCTTTTCTTCGTAAGCTTTACTAATTTCACTAATTTTTGATAATATTTGATGTTTATCAGTTAAATCTTTTAATGTTGGCAACACAGAATATGGATTAAAACACTTTGTATTCTTCACACGATAATATTTTTCTAAACCAAACTAAAAACAAAAAAAGAATCATATATAGCATATACAAAAACATTATTCATATTTAAGAGTTTTCACAAAATATACCTCTGAATCAAAAATACAGAAAGAAAATGCATTATTTGCAATTAATTTACATAATATGTAATTAGCATCCAAATGTTCCCCTTCCTTTATTTCTGCATGAAGATCCATGATACTTTGCCAATCATCTACTTTAACTCTAATTTTAAACTGATCTATTGGCATTTTATAGTATATTCCATATAAAAGATATAGTCCTCCAATACGTTCTTTAAAACGAGGAGGCAAAAGAAGGAATTGTTTGCATATATTCAATGATTCTTCACAAAATTCTAACAATTCTAAAAAAGATGGACGACCACTAAAAGTATTAAAAAAGTAAATATAGATTTTAAACAATTAATTTGAATGATTAATCATATAAATAATGATCAATGAGATGAATAAGTTATCATTTATTTGAACAATTGCACCATCTTATATTCTTAGAGTAAATATTATAATAAAGATATTGACAATGATTAACTTACGTAAAAATCAATGAAAATTTCATATCCTTCCAAATCTCACAAAAAGTTTGAAACCTAATATCATCTGCTCGTTCAAAACGAGTAATTAATTGTTCGCAGTCTTCTTTGAAACCGCTCATAATCAATGATTTACTTGTTGCCATTTTTAAAGTTTAAAGACACACCGTTATTATTAACTTTATTAAACCCAACAATATTAGTTATTTCTTTAAATTATTTATTTCTTCAAATTATAAGTTGTAAATTTAACCTTCTTTTATATGAAATTCAGAAATTTATTCGCGTCAAAGATACTTCTTTGACATAACTCACATTCCATGTGATATGTAACGACATCTATGCACAAGCAGTTTACTTACATATTACGTATAAAAACTATAGTAATAAATCAGAGCCAATTACAAAAATTACGTCCGTCCACCTTCCAAGAATGTCATCGAATGGCGTTCTACTTAAAATAATGTCTAATTCTTTGCAAATACTTTGATGGGATTTTCGTATTCTTATTAATTATTTTTTAATAATACACATAAATAATGTAATTTAATCTTTATTAATTTCTAACTGCATATATTGCATTATCTAATTTTAATAATATCAAGAAGATAATTAGTAAATTAAAGAATAAATTGTGTTAAATAATAAATTCATCTAGTATTAAAGTTCATATCAAATGCCTCAAAAGGTGGATTACCATAGATCTAAGAAAATATAATAAGACTTGGTTCAGTTCCTACCGGAAAAGAATGGAACATATTAACTGATTCTAAAAGTTTCTAAATAATTTTTTTTTTCTATTATAATTTATGTTTCATGTATGAATACTTATAAGTGGTTATAAACACTTTTTTGACTAATTAAAAGCGTATTTTAAATATTTATTTATTAATTTTTTTCAATAATAAAGCAATTAAAAATTTAATAAGTATATTAGTTATATGTGTAACTGCACAAATTATTTAAAAATTACAATTTTACGGTGTAATACGCTTAGGATCTCGAGGGAACATTGAAACTTTTCTAATATTATCCAAGCCAAGATATAACATAACAACTCTCTCCATTCCAATCCCACCACCAGCATGAGGAGGGCAACCATACTTAAATGCATCAATATACGATCTTATCTTTTCTATATCTACAATTTAAAACAAAATTATATTACATTATATTTTCAAATACATCAAAATCTATTACATATCTACCAATTCCATGATATTTTGCACGTTCTGTAAGAAGTTCGGGATCATGAATACGTTGTGCACCGGAAATAATTTCCTCACCACGCATAAACATATCATAAGAATTTGATATTTTCTGAAATAAATGTAACATGTACTTGGAACAGTATTACAATAATTTATCTAAACTTACAGAATTATTTGGATCTGGCATAGTATAAAACGGTCGTACTGCCAATGGATACTTATCCAATATGTAAAAGTCTGTATCATACTAAAAATAAAAAATGATCGACAAAAAGATTTATATCTGCAAACAGTATCATTAAAAAAAACTTACTTTTGCTTTAACAAGTTTACCCAACAATTTTTCATCCGGAGTAGACAAATCATCCTCTTCACCTAAAGTTACACCAAGTTCTGCCAATAACTCAATAGCATCTTTATATTGTAATTTTAAAGGTGGATTTAAGAACTTAAAAGGTTCTACATTATATTGCTGACGTACAATCTCGATTTCGGCAGCATAACTAAAATTAAATGTTACAGTATTAATTTTATATACAAAGAACCTTTTACATATATTTGTAAGCTTCACTAACTTGTCATGAAGACCCTTGAACATTTCTACAAATAATTGTCCAATAACATCAACTACTTCATGATAATGATATTTAAATGCCATTTCTAAATCAAGACCGACGAATTCCGTTAAATGTCTATGCGTATTAGAGTCTTCAGCTCTAAAAACTAAACAATTATCATATATAATATGTTTTTAGAAAAATAAAATAAGTACATTTTTTAAATTAATAATCACCTGCTCCTACAGTAAAAACTTTATCAAAATCAGCCGCTATTGCCATTTGTTTATAAAGCTGCGGCGATTGTGCTAAGTAAGCATTTCCTTTAAAATATGATACTGTAAAGACATTTGCACCACCTTCACTCGCTGCAGATATAATTTTTGGTGTGTGAATTTCAACAAATCCCTATAAACAAAAATCTATAAATAAAATTCTATACATTAATTACAATTTTTTGAAATTTACTTCTGTCATATATTTTATACTTTACTAGCAACTTACTTTATTTGTAAGAATATCTCTAAATAATTTACAAATGGCTGCTTCTATCTTATATATAGCTTGATTGGCTGGAGTCCTTAGATCTAGGACTCTGTTATCTAATCTAGTATCTTGATTGACTTTTATATTTAAAGCATTGTCATCAGCTTCGGTTACAGGTCTTGAAGCATCCTCAATTTGTAAGGGTAATTGTGATTTAGCAACACTTACTACAAAAATTTTTTCAATGTGAACTTCTACATCTTTTTGAGTACATGACTCAATTTTAGAAGGAACACATTTTACAACTGCTTCTATATCCACAATAGATTCTTTGGTAATACTACAATTGTATTAATTTTATGTAATGCAAAGTAACATTAATTTATTCACACATTTTTATTACTCACTTAGATATGAATTTAATCATTTGTTTGCTAACTTGTTCGTTAACTGCAGCTAAACCTTGTATTGTGTGAGATTGCTGTCTTAAAACAATAAAACATTGTTTACCTACAAAACAAACATTTTGTTTCAAAATATGAATATTAAATGTATAACATTAATTGTTAAACATTACTCTATTTTTATATAATATACCTGTAGCACGACTAGTATGTAAACGTCCTCTTAACCATACATTCTGATTTTCTAAGTTGGGATTCAAATTTTTAATATCAGTAAATTTTCTTTCTGTATATTTTTCTTTACTCTGTATTAATCCGGTTTCTCCATAATTTCCAAATGAAATATCCTTTTCATCAGTTGTATCTTGTTGAGCTTGCTATATATATTATTGAAAAATATTTTGTTAAAAATTATATTTTATATTATATGGAACTATCTCTTATTAAAATATATAAACATTTCTTACAATTTGAGCTTTACGTTCAGCTTTCTTTATTGCTTTTTCTGCTTCTTTCCGTTGCTTTTTGAGAACCTTTTTAGAGAGCTCGTCACTTAAAATAAAAGAAATTGTTTAATCAGAATTTTCTAATAATAGTTTTTTAAAAACTATAGTTTATCTTACCTCCCTTTTGTTGAATTTATAGATTTATCTTCTTTCATCTACAAAAATGATAGAACAGAATCTTAGTTTAACGAAATAGAAGTTTATTATATAAAAAAAGAATGCATATCGGAAAAGTGGTTTTGTATTAATAAACACGAAATAATGAAAATAAAGGATAACTAGTTTGTTTACTTTAAAAATACACACCTTTAGTTCGTTCAAACTTACAAATTGCATGTGACTGTCGACACTAATCTTCTTATCGCATATAAATAGAGGTTATGTACATCAGTTATAATTTACTTATAAAAATTTGCCGGAAGTTCAATGTACAATTAATAACTGCGTTCCGAAATTATTTACTATTTCTTTTACTAATTTTCTATTGAACAAAAATAAAGACGTACATCACATGCTAATTTTAAAATATAGTTCATTTGAAGAAACTTTCATTCGTTCTTTTAGTTTATCTACTTAACTAGAAAATCAAACTAAAACAGCAATCAAAATATTTACATCACAGAATTGTTATTATAAATGATTATATGATTAGTATAAATCATTTTTAATTTGTACATTAAGAATAAAAGAAGGATAAAAGGATAAAGTGTACATTAAACTTTATTTACCTATATTAATAATTTGCAATGATAACTTATTCAATAATTATTAAAATATATTTATCAATTCTATTGTGTAACATAAAAGAAATTTTACTTATTCTATAGCTGTAATATGATTTAAGTGAGGAATACATTAAAAAAGATGAGCTCGCATCGCTAAATCTCTTTCAAACCATGAAATTTAAAATTTGAATTCAAAAAACAATCATTTTTGCTCCATTATCTGCAGAATTCAATACGATAGATATTTGTTCTTCTGAAGATTCTGGTACAGATGTTTCAACTAATGATTTTTCATTAGTTTCCATTATTTGTTGCTCAGAATTTAACTTTTTCAGAATGCTTTGCTTAGAATCATTCCACTTTTCCCAGCTCATCCTTCTATTACCTGAAAAAACAGGAGCTCGAGATTTGCGAGCGAGCATCACCTTACCACAGGATATAAAAACAATAACAAGAATAGGTGCAGCAATATTTTTATATCTACAATTATCTAATGATACTTGTTAACAATTTTGTTTTTATATCTACATATATATCATGTTGAAGATTGTTACACCGTATAATAAGTATGAAAAAATCTTGTATTGCCTTTATTTCTTACTTTTTAGTTTATCTGATGAATCATCAAATGATGGATCTTGAATATTTAGCATCAAACCATTACCACTAAGATATAGACGATTTGGAGAATTTGCAATCTAAAATTGGAATTAAATTTATTACTTAACTACGTGATAATTTATTTAAAATATTAAATTTTTGTTAATTACCGTGCGAGAAATATTTTGAGCTGCACGAATTTTTCGTAATTTTAGATAACCTGGATTTTGACTAAGAGCTAAGCCAAGGTGCATTGGAGTTAAGGATATTTTGAAAAAATAATAAATATATATAAAATTATCTTTGTAACAAAAAAATTACAGCAATATAATTATTTATACTGCTTCTCAAAGGATATCATTTTGGCAGCTTCTGCTTCACCTTCTGCTTGAACAATTTTTTGTTGTTTCTCCTGTTTTGCTTTTTCTACAAAAAATGCTGCTCTTTGTGCCTCTTGTTGAGCAACTTGTTTAGATTCTACAGCAGCAGTATATTCTTTACCAAAGCTTAATTCAGTTATTGATACATCATCTAAGACAATGTTGAAATCTTTAGCACGTTCAGTTAATTCTTGTCTTACTAAATTTGACACCTGTTGTCTTTGTGTAATTAGCTGAGATGCATTAAATTTTGCAACCACTGATTTCAATACTTCATTACAAATGCTTGGTAGTACCTAAAATATAATCACATTTCAACAATAATTTTCTTAAGATTTCAATACAAACTACTTTAATAAAATTTTATTGTACCTTTTCATCATAATCAAGACCTAAGTGACGATACATTAAGGGTAACTGGTTCGCATCAGGACGAGAGAGCACACGAAGTGAAATATTAACCATTTGTAAATCTTTGGATCCTGTAGGTGAAGATAATTTTCTAGGCCTACTTCTAATATCATATATAATTGGCCAATGTACCCATGGAATACGGAAATGAAGACCTTCAGCAAAAATATCTTGTTGAATTCCTCCTAAACGGGAAAATATTATTGCTCTATGACCAGCGTCCACTAAAAAAAGGCAATCATATAATTACAAACACTCAAAAACAACTTTTGGTTTAAAATCTATTATTTTAAATAGTTTTCCACTTAGTTAATGTTTAGTAAAATATGGAATACAAACCTGTATACATAGAACTCCAAATACCAAAACCAGCCATGCCGGCTGTTGCACAGCATGCAGCGAAAGCGGATGCTCCCGGAGTAAGTTTAGGTAATTTAAATTCATTCATTTTATTTTTTAATATTATTTATTACAGTGATATTTATATATTGTTACGTCGAATTAAAAATTAATAATTTATAATAAATTGTACTTTAATTCGAAATCAAAATGTATAAACGAATTCTTACACAAAGAGGAACATATGAACAAGAACTCGCCATGAACAATGATATTAGAAGATGGTTATAAACTATAAGATGGCTTTACTGTGTATATGATTTATTATAATTAAAGTCCTATTTTCAAGTCAAGATAATTTTGAAAAATATTTTCAATTATTGCAGTGAATGTAAACCGTAAATTCCTTTTTTATTTTTCTATTTTCTTTTTATGAAGATAATTTAATAAAAATATAAAAATTATGTCAAAATTATGTTTCCAATACGAAATAATTTAAAAAATTTGTATCGTAGTAAGTAATTCAGATTATATAATTTTGTCTAAGAAAATTAATAAAAATGAATACTATATAAACATAATTTATATGCATAACACATCTATAATATATATATTTTAGACTACAAATATAATCACAAAAACATGGCGCTGTGTTATATGAGGTATCAAATCGTTACTTCATTTTTTATTGTATTTTATTGTATTTAATAATACTAATATTAAAAAATTGATGTTGTTTAGGTTGTTTTATCGACGAAACAGTTGCCTTCATACTTTCCGAAATTTATATACTTGCAGGTAACATATTATATAATGTAACCTTCGCTATATTTAAATGTCATTTACATCTTTTTGTTAATTAAATTGTTAAAATAATATTTTTAGTCAACGAAATGTTGCAATTTCGAAACCTTTGTTCATGGGAAGTACAATTTGCGAATCTCATGATGAGAAAAATATACGCTTGAAAAGACCTATGTCACCACATTTAACTATTTACCAAATTCAGTTAACAGCATTTCTTTCAATTACTCATCGTACAACAGGCATGATATTATCAGGATATGCTGTGTTGCTTGGTTTAGGTAAAATTATTTTTTATCTTCAGAGACTAAAAGGAAAGGTAAAAATCTGTAAATAAATAAGTCTTTATAATTATAGGAACATTATTTATCCCAGGAGGTATTCCTTGTCTCATAGAAGTAATCACAGAATTAGGTTTGTCAGCACCTGTTCTTTTCTTGGGAAAATCTTTGCTTGCTTTACCTGCCACTTATCATACATTTAATGGATTGCGTCACTTGGTAATATAACTGATAATTATTGCCTACATATTTGCATATGCTTAATAATAAAAATAATTGTATATTTTTAATCAAACTTTTTTTTATTATGAAAATTTGTAGGCTTGGGATATTGGATTATTTCTTACAATTAAGGAAGTCTATAGTACTGGTTATGTAGTAGCTGCATTATCAGCAATTTCTGCTATTGCTCTTGCTGCTATGTAAGTTTAGATAATTGTATCATCATGTTGTGATATAATTTGTATTGAAAATTAATTGTACTATTAAACAAATATGTTGCATCTTGTACTTTGCAAATTGTATTAAATTTATAACATAATTGAATTTAGATATTACTTGTAATTAATTTGTAATAGTAAATATAAACTAATTTAATAATATCAAAATTTATTTAAAAATTATGTTTGAATAATTATAATTTAATACATGCAAATATGCAAATAAATATATTACACAAAACCTTCAAGAGATGAATCAATAAACTTTTTATAAATTGCCATAAATCGAGCAACAAATGCTTCTAAATGAAAAATTGGTTTTGTCCCCCTATGCATTCTATGTTCATATTCAGCTGCAATTGTTGCAATTTCAATTTTTAACTGAAGATCACAATTTTTTATACATTCTTGTAAAAGACCTTTAAATATCAAATCACATGGTATAGCATGGGTCAATAATTCATAAAGTCTGTTTCTTATTGCAAGAAGCTTTTTTGGACTCTGTTCACTGACCATCATATTTGCTGTATTACGAATATACACTTGCCAATCTGGTTCTGTAATATTTTGATCTGCAGTAAATGGATATCTAAAAACAAAAAGCCAATAATGTGCTATACTATTTTATTTAGATATATATAAAGTTATATATGGGTATACTTACGATTCAACTTTACAAGCTTCAAGCATTAATATTGCTCGTCTAAGATTTCTACCACTAGTTTCTGCTAACCTTACAGCCAATTCATCTGGTAAAGTTAAACCTTCACGTTTACAAATTGAATGCAAAATGTCTTTTATATCTGATACTGCTGGTGCTGGAACTCTGATTCCTAAACATCGTGATCTAATAGCTGGTAAAACGCGTGATGTTGAGTTTGCACACAGTATTAGTCTACATGTAGCAACATATTTTTCCATAGTTCTTCGAAGAGCATGTTGTGCATCTTTTGTAAGCTGATCCACATTAGTTAATAATACCACTAATAAAATGTTATTATTCTTAAGAATATATAAAGTTAGATAATGATCAATTGTTAATTAAAGTTTAAAAATGAACCTTTAAATTCTCTTTGTCCACTTGGATCTATTTGATGAGTTTGAGCTGTTGTTTTCACCAAATCCATTACTACAGTTCTATCATATATCCCAACATCACTTGGATTTACTTCAATGTGATAGTTACTGCTTATTGTTGTTATCTCCAATTTTTTCTTAGATAGTGTCTGATATCATAAATTTATTATCATCAAATTTAAATAAATTTGTAACAATATAAATTACCTCAAATGTCATAGTTTCCATCCTTAATCTCTCAATTCCATTTCCATACAATTCTTTTATGATACACATTATACGAGTTTTTTTTCCTGCTCCTGACGGTCCATAAACTAATAGATGTGGAAAATCTCCTTTTTGTACCTAAAATAATAGTACTTGGTATATAAATAAAAATATAAAATTTTTTATATCTAATCGTATAACATATAAAACAAATAATAGCTTATTTTATATAATGATATAACCTATTTTGTAAATGTACGTATGTTGTACAAGATGACATTACCATGTTTTTTAAATATTCTGCTTGTTCTTTATGATAATCCAATTTGCCAAGCGTTGTTGGACGATATTTGTCTACCCAGAGACTCATATTTGCTTAAAGGATATACAAAATGAGTGTTATTTGAATTCCCGTTAATTTATAATTCGATAAATTATTATTATCATTATTAAATATTATATGACAACATATTTCAAATATTTATATTATTCAATAATAATTTTTTTATACTTAACTTTATATATATGCACAGTTATAAAGTAAAGATTAACTGTACCAGTATTTACTGTTGTCAGAAGTTAACGAAATTAAAAGCGCGCCAAACTGTAGGCAATTACGTAAGAACTATTTTTATACTATGACTGGTATTTATTTTCATTTTATTATATTGAGATTGTAAATAAACCATTTTATTTTAACTTTTATTTGTATATTTTATTATACAATATATGTTTATTTTTAATAAAAAATTAACACACTTTGGTAGACACATTGTAAAAAACAAATCAAAATTGACAATAAAATGATTACATACTATAAGAGTATGTACCTTTTATAAAAATGAAATTACACACGAAATAAACTTATTCATAATATTATACTTAAAAGATCATTATTAATAATGGCAGTGTAAAGATATTATTTTAACAATATATACTAACAATAAACATATAAAACAACGAAAACTGTCATGTAAAATAAAGTACACTTTTAGTCGAGTTTGCTTGATAAAATTCAAGGAACTCAATTTTGGAATGAAATTTGGAGGGAAAAATTGTTAAATATTTAGAAATACAGTTAACGTTTACTAGAATGCTTCAACAGAAGATAGGGTAGAATATTTCAGACTTCATTATCACATGCTTTTAACGATATGTACAAGTTACACAATATATGTGTGCTACATCAATAGTTCAAATGCACCATTATATAAATGCTCTTAATTCACAGAATCATTTTGATTATAGAAAATATATAATCTTATCTCAAGTAATAATTCCATGAAATTTGTAACAATTTGTAAGTACATTTTCTTAAATTATATCATGCAAGTGGGTTGCATGATCTATAATTGCAATACTTTGGATAAATGTATTGTCCAATATTTTTTTTGTTCTGGATATATACAAATAATTAACGCTATTTATTAAAACTATCAATTAAACTTATAGCTAAACTTACTGCAAATTATATGGCCAGTAAATAAAATAATTAAGAAATGTTTACATGAACAATATGAAAGTAAAATATCACTTATGTTGTTCCTACTAGATGTGCACATTGCACGTATAATCCTACATGAAATGTTTAATTGCTTACTATAGTAAAAATAAAAATTGTTATGTTCGATGTTTCAAAGTATATCGAATAATATATATTTATACCCAAACACCATGTGGGTTTTTGCTTGTAGGTACCGCAGTTTCTAATTGCCTCGGTGAACCTATCATTTTACGTGTACTTCCAGGTTTATGGGCACCTATGTAATAAATATTTGTAAAACAATTGATAAATTAATTAACATTTTCAACTATATTTTGATTCAAATTCATAAATACCTTCAAATAATGATTTAACTTGTTCATCTTGACAAGCAACAGCAAGACTTTGTAAATTAGCTTCTTTCATATCTGCTACTAATCGTTCTACTTGTAACTTTTTCTCAACAATCGCTGACTCTAAACTTACTACTTCGAGTTTTAATGTTTCTGCACATTGTGAAGCTAACTCAGCAGAACGTTTAGCTTGTTCTACCTCATTTTGAAGATGTTCGACTTCGGTAATGATTTTACGTTCCATTATTTGTCTTTCGTCTGTTTCACGACTTATATTATGTTGTTCTATAGCAAGTTCTTCCATAACTAATCTGAAATGTAAAAAGAATTATCTAATATCGTATTATATTAAAAGCATATACGCTTATATTTTTTTACCTGATTTTATTTTTACACTGAAGTAATTCCGTTTCACAATTTGCAAGTTTTGATCTGAGTAAAGTAATTTCTGATTTTAATGTCTTTTCTTGTTGTCTAACTATTTCACTTTCTTCTTCCACATGTGCTAATTCCTTTAACTGTAAAATCAATAAATATTATTAAAATCATGGACATTAGACACATACTGAATTACATATAGTTAGAGAATTTATATCTGCAGCATACCTGTTCTTCGATAAGACGTCCTGTTGTTTCCATACGATTTACTTCTTGAGAGATGTAATCCATCTGATGCATTTGCTCTCTATTTTTAGTTTCCCAGTATAATATTTCAGCATCAAACTGAAAACAAATAATGTAATATGCATTATAAGAGTTTGTTATTAAATTAAATAGGTGGTCCCAGCAACGATAGTATATCCGGGAAAGGGATAATTCTAGACGCGGAAATAAATAAAAAAAAAAAGAATAAAATTTTTTGATTCGAAGTTTCGTTTTCAAGAAAATCGACTTTAAATATTCACTAAATGCGCTGGTATACTGCTTGTATATCAGCCTTAGCCAAAGTTAAGTACACGCGTACTCGGTCAATATTCAAAGTAAATTTTCTCGAAAACGAAACTTCGAATCAAAAACTTTTATTCTTTTTTTTTTCGATTTGTTTCTGCGTGTAGAATCATCCCTTTCCCGATTGTACTACCGTTGCTGGGGCTCTCTGTATATAGCTATATAAATTTATACTCCCATACTTTAGTCAGATCTGCTTGCTGTGCATTAATAGTATCACGTTGCTTATTGACTAGTCTAATAAGTTCAACATAGCGTTGAGTGTAAGCAACAGTAACCATATTTTGAGCTTGACCAGATAACTGGTTTACAGGTTGAGTTTGTCCTTTTGTTTCTTGAAATTCCTAAACATATCAAAAAGATTAAGATCATTAATATAGTGTTACACATACTATTATATTTGTATTCATCTACATATGTGTATATATTTTATATCTAAAATATATCTTATTTGTAGAACCTGAATAAGATTTCTCTTTAGTTTGCCAGAATTACTAGAAGATGGCTGATCTTCTTTATGAACATGAGGACTTCCAATATTTGTACTAGATTGAAACTGTGATCTTCCAGGACTGTTTAAATTAGGTGGTGGAGGATCTCTATATGGAGGTAAAGTTCTTAAAGGTGGCGAAGCTGGACCTGGAGGATCCCGATATGGAGGAACTTCACGCACTTTCTTTTGTGATAAATGTGTGTTACTCTCACTGCTACTAGCACGAGTAGGAGACTGAGTTGGTTTTTGTATGTTTTTCCTTATATTCAATTCCTTATTTTTTAAATGCAATGTAGGCTGGACTATGGCAACATTTTCCATTTGAATCTAAAATAGACAAATAAAATATCAAATTATTTTACAAAAATAATACTGAAAATGTACAATATAATTTAAACACAATTTACTTCTGTATTGTTCTCCATAACACTTCCATGTAATCCACCAAATGTTAATGATTTTCTAATGTCACGATTTCTATCAAGACATCCTTGTAAATCATCAAATTCTGAATTTGAAGTTATATTTTTAGCATCATCCTGTCCGCTATTAGTTGTAATATGATCTGAAGTAGAGCTCATCATGCCATTTGATCGTGTACCATGGTTTATACGTGTCCCTAATGAGCTAGAGGCCTTATTATTTTCTGGAGTCGAACGTCTTAATATCAACTGAACTTCTGAAGAATATTCTCCCCATTTCATTAGAATCTTATTGAAAAAGATTTAATTATTATATTAATACCATGGACATTATTTACTTAAAAATCAATTGCATTAATACCTTTAGAGGATTTTCATATGGAGCTAAGAGACGTTCATTAGTTCTCCATCTTTCGACTAAGGTAAATCTACCTGTTTGTCCTGTTGCATGAGCAAGAGCATATACTACATCCTAAAAGTTAAATTTTATTACACTAATTATAGTTTTATTAAATAAATAAATCATAAAATCTTTAAACTTAAATTTATGGATGTTATATTATCTAGTATAAGCGTAATATTTAAATAAACATTGACAACCTGACATGTAGTGGTTTCTGTAACACCACATACAATACGTTGTATTCCTTCTACCCATACTTTCAGCTCCATAACGTCACCAATTTAAGATCTCAAGATTAAGCTTTCGCATCGCAAAATTTTCATTCTGAAAAATGATAATGTATCCGTTAAGCTTAAACTTAAGTCATATCATTAAGATAAATGTTTCATAAAATAAGAAAATCAATGATTATATGCATTTACTAACAATTATTTTTAAGTTTTCTCAAACAGACATGCTTCATAAAGCTTAAATAATATTACAATAACCCGATGCTTATAACCTTAACTATATAATTATCAAAATGACAGATGTACGTCCATGGTAATGTACAAGATAGGTAAACGCTTCTCACTGAGTTTGTTCACAGTATTACTAGTCTATGAAGAATTGCACTCTTATAACCATTAATTAATCAATATGTACACTTATGAGATAAATCCATTATTATTTCGTAAGGATCAAATAATAAAATATATAATAAGGAAAATTAATAAGAAACATTCGACAATCGAAGTATACTGAATTCTAATTTAGTTATACTACAATAGAGGGAGCTGAAAACGTTAGTACAGGAACGAATTAATCCTTTCATGTTACAATCTATTTAATTTAAGAATATAGTTTTCATCATTTAATGTTCATTATTGACATGTGATGATTGTTATGCAATTATTTTTTATAGTATTTTATATATAGTTTTAAATATATTGCAAATAAAATGCCGAAAGTACGTATACAAAAAACAACTCATATTCATAAAGAAATTGCAAAACAAGGTATGACATGCACAATAAATAATTATTCTTTTCATCTAAATTTTATTTACTAATAATGCAAAACTTTTTTAGGAATTTTATTTAATACGGATATTGGACAGCATATTTTAAAAAATCCCCTCATTATTCAAAGTATGGTGGAAAAAGCAGCAGTTAGACCTACAGATGTTGTATTAGAAATAGGTCCAGGAACTGGTAATATGACAGTAAAATTATTGGATAAAAGTAAAAAAGTAATAGCATGTGAATTAGATACTCGAATGGTAGCTGAATTACAAAAACGTGTACAAGGTACACCTTACCAGGCAAAATTGCAAATTATGATAGGTGATATTCTGAAAACAGACTTACCATTCTTTGACTTATGCGTTGCTAATATACCATATAAAATATCATCACCTTTAGTATTTAAATTACTTTTACACAGACCATTGTTCAGGTAAATTTATTTTATTTAAAGGTTTACTTATCTATATTTGAGGTTTATAAAAAATTTTATGGACATAATGTAATTATCAAAGAGATGTAAAGTTATTAATTCTGAAGATATTATGCCAATTTTTAACATGCAGGGAACGTAAGGAGAAATGGACTTTATTAGCACATTGTTTTCTACAGGTGTGCTGTACTTATGTTTCAAAGAGAATTTGCTGAACGGTTGGTTGCAAAGCCAGGAGATAAATTATATTGTCGTCTAAGCATAAATACTCAGTTATTAGCACGTGTAGACCTGCTTATGAAAGTAGGAAAAAATAATTTTAGACCACCACCAAAAGTGGAATCAAATGTAGTTAGAATAGAACCACGTAATCCTCCACCTCCAATTAATTATCAAGAATGGGATGGTTTAACACGAATTGCATTTGTTAGAAAAAATAAAACACTCTCAGCGGCATTTAAGCAAACTACAGTTTTAACAATGTTGGAAAAAAATTATAAACTTCATTGTAGTTTGAATAATAAGGTAACTATAAATGTTAGAAATATCATAAGAAAATTAGTCTAAATGTTTAAAAAATGATTTGTTTATAATATCCAGGTCGTCGAAGAGGGATTTAATATAAAGAAATTGGTAATTGATATTTTACAAAAAACAGATGCTGAAAATAAACGTGCAAGAACTATGGATATAGATGATTTTATCAGGTAAGCAAATCTTTTACCTATTATTTTAATAAATATGGTTGATTGTAAGATTAATTTTACATTGAAATTTTCAGACTTTTACATGCATTTAACGCACAAGGAGTGCATTTTACATAATTCAAATTATGAACAACATAAAAAAATTGTATAGTACATAAAGAAAAATATAAAGTGTGTGTGAGTTATCTCAGAGCACACAAAACTCGAAAAATACATATAATTCAGCAAAATGTTTCAGGCAAATGTTGTGAGGTAGTAATAGTTATATGTGCTGCCAATACTTGCTTGACCATATAGTAACTTTGGATAACCCTATAAAGATCATGCAGAATTTTTTAAATCGAAACCCACATTTTTTAATTACATATTCTTGTAGTTAATATGAAGTTTCTTTCAAAACAGTATTTATGGTCGATAAATTTAAGGTGTCCTACTTCAAAAACGACATATGCAAAATATATGTCTAGGAGGTACTTTCTAAAGATTTTGATATCAGCTACAAAAATATGTAATAAAAAATGTAGGTTCCCATAAAAAAATGAACGTATGACCTTTACAAAACTTTCCAAAGTCATTACAAAGTTAAATAAATATCAACATCATATGTCACCATAAATACCCTGTAATTTTTGTCTGAAACGTTCCGCATTATCTACATATTTTTTTTTTTTTAGATATTTGCATATTCGGAGATAATTCACGCATACTGTATAAAAAAAGAAAATTATGTCGAATGATTTAAAAGTATTATTTTCATACACATTTTTCATATTAGAAATGTACAGTAATTTAAGAAAAGAAGAAAAAATCAATATTATCTATTATAAACGAGTTATTTTATGGTTTATACATAACATGTATAATTTTACACATAGCATTTCTAAATCTACTTACTTTACAAAAAATTATATCTGTGTGTAAAGTTTTAATTAAATTATTAGCTGATAACATACATGTATATTTACAAATATTCTTTGGGAATCAAAATCGTAAGGAAATATAATAAAGTTTGTTGTACCTTGACAAAGGTAATGGTGATATATATGTATAGAATATATCTATACACATATATATCTTTTATATATTATACGAAATTGAACATAAAAGTTAACATTGAATTTGGTTACCTTTTTTATATGATCAATTTATACAGTAGAAAAAATTATAAATAAAATCTATTACTCTGCGTCAGTACTTTTATACATAGTTCCCATATATTTTATAACACATGTGGAAGCCATTTTTATTTAGAAAATAAAGGAATGAAACAATATTTTAAATGAAACAATGTTTCTACTTAGAATTATTGCATCCATTTCTTCATATTTGTAAAGAAGTATTGATTAATCACCAAAATGAATGCAAATTTATCATGCTTTCTCGTTGTTTTATGCGCAAACGATTATTTAAGATAAATTATCATAAATTTTCAATTAAATGGTATTATCATTCGGAATTCATTGATTTTGATTTGGTGTAACCCTGAGATCTTCTATGACTCCTTGCAAATTTCGTAGGAGTTAAACACATTTATCAGTTTTCTAATTGAATAATTTTTAAATCGGAATGTTTTAATGTTGCAATTCAATTTTAAGCAGGATGCCGTCGAGTTAATCGTGGTCGATTCGAACTATGTGTTCTACTGCTAGACCGTTTCCTCCTTTTACTTTTATGCCTATCTTTATGCTTCGATTTCTTTTTGTGTGTATATGATTTACTCGAATAATTACTACACTGACTATGTGATCTAAAATCATCATCGTAATCTGAGCTGCTTAAAATGTCTTCTCTCGTTTTGGATTTGAATTCACGATCTTTTCTTGACACATCTCTAGTTATCCAATTTCCATCGTCGTCGCTCATATCTCGTTGAGATTCTCGTCGTCTAGAACTATCTCTTTTTTCTTTTTGAGATGCATAAGAAGATACACTACTGCTTCTAGATATAGATTGTCGGTCATTCTTGTATCTTGATTCTTTTCGGTGAGATTCTTTTATATCTGGTGCTTGTCTAGCTTTACCTCTAGTTCTAATTATTCTTTCACTCTTGGCTGTAACAAAATCACTTGGACCAGTGGTGTATTTCCTTTTTAATTTTGGTAACATACGAGATTTTACATTTTTAATAAATTCATCAGATTCAGTGGTATAATTACTACTGAATGATTCCTCATCCGAATACCGAGTTTCTTTCTTAATTAAATCTTTACGAACACGGACAGTACCCTTTCCAGAATACTGTGAAGTTCTCGATTTTTGTTCATCCGTCGGTTTTGATTCAATCTCATGTGAACTACTGTCACTACTACTACTTAATCTCCTCTTTCGTTGAGTATTTCTTTTGGGACCTTTTTTTCTAATGTCACTTTCCCCAGAACTGGATAAATTCCTACTTGTTCGATTACGGACTCTTGTTTCTACCGAACGATTACGTCTTTTACTAGTTGTATTTCTTCTTATACGTTTTCTAGTACGACTTTGATATTTTCTACTTCTGCGAAAAGTATAATCGCTATCTGAATCCGAATTAGATGAACTAGATGAAGATGTTAATCCTCGTTTCTTAATACTATGAGATGTACTAGGTTGGGCAATATCTTCATACAAAACAGACGCTGCAGTTCTAATAATGATATTAAATTATTTACAGATCCTATTGCAATAATATTATAATATTAAGCATTTCAAAATAAAGAGGTTTTACTTACTGAGTGTTATCATTTGATACATGCGAAATATTTATTTCTTCAGAATCAGATGAAACTAATTCTATGATTTCTGGTGTTCTTTCATGTCGAGGTTTCACATAACCGATTACTTCACAATCGTTATCTGATGAGGAGGAATCAGAAGAAATAGTCAATACATCTGGTACATTATATGAAATTTCCAACTGAAACGCCTGTCCTACAGTACTAGGTCCTACTCATAAAAATATGTATTAAAATTTTAATATAAAATAACGAAAGAAAAAGGAATAAAAAATATTACCAGGCATGCTGAGTGTGTGTGGCCCTACACTTGGTATTTCCGTGTTCATTCTAAGATCGATTGCTTCATCTAGCACTCGAACATCTGAATCATCAGAACTAGTACTACTACTGCTAGATGCAGGTGATAAAACGTTTGATACATATTCATTTGACAACCCTATAATAAATATTACTAGTTTTATAAAGAGAATATATTAAGCATGATATAAGAATAACAAGATTGAATGACATACCTTGTGGTAAATAAGTTACAGATTGATCATAGCCAACTAAATCGAAATTAGTTCGCGCATAATTAAGTAATTCATGTACAAAGTGATCTGTAAGTGTGCCGAAATGAGCGCGTATTATATTTCGAAATTCCGCACTTCTGATATCATACTGGCTAAGAGCATCCAATATAACTCCTAATACATATGCGACATGCGGAGCATTGTTATTAAGTAATACTTGCAATTCTCTATTTAGCCATGGTATAAGCCGATTTAATTCTCTTGGTTCTCTCCTATATACAAAATAATCATATGCTATGACTGATTTTAATGCATTCATTTTTTATATGAGAAATATATGAATAGTAATTTACCTATAAAAGTCGGCGCTACATTCGCGAAAACGGCCAAAAACATCTGGTAATGCAGTAGCCCAAATTCCGAGCCTATAAATTGTACGACGATAATCAGCTGAATTTGCACGTCTACGTAAGCGCTCTCCCATTGGGACTTGTGGTGCTATACTTGGCAATTGTTCTCTTCTTGCAACCTGTTCTGGATTAAGCACTATTTCATGTGAACGTCTATGATGTCCTGTCATAGTTGTTCTATAATGGACACAATTATTTATTTACAAAATTGCTAGATGTTAACTATTAAGTATTAATTTAATATTAAAGTTAGTACAATACCTATAATGAAAACGATGAGTGCCAACATCCATAGTATGACCCAATTCAAAATTAAGGTCCAAAGTAGCCAATTCTCTGGGTATATGATATTGATCATAATCTTCTTCTGACCTAACATTGTGTATGATTGACTTGAATGTCTGTTTACATAATGGACACTCTGTTTTTATTTTAGACCATTGAAGCAGGCAGGTGAAACAAAATTGATGGAGGCAACTATCAGTGAATGATGTATTCACTAATTTGCCTAAGCAAATACTACAATTTGGTGGAGGTGACACTGCACCATCACTCCGATCACTACTATCTGGATTCTGTACAGGTGCTTCTGATTTAATAGGTTCTTCTGCACCTGTAGCAGAATCTTTTATTTCCAATGGACCTTCCATTATAAGTTAATATGTTTGTCCATTTATTAAAACAAACACCTGAAATATATTATTTCATACATGAATCCAATAGAATTAATATTAATATATTTTATTATGAAATAAATACCATTCTACGTGAATAAATCTGGATTTAATACTATTTACTATGTTTATTATATATGAATTAAATAAAGTTAAAAAGTAAAATTAGTAATTATTTATAAATTGATGGGTCTACAAGGAAGATTTATAGGCCTTGTTTCTGTGAAACATTGGAATTTTATTATTATAATTCGCGAATATTCATTGAATAGAATAAACTTTTCTAATTTTATGTATATAATTTTATTTTGCAATATAAATTAACACTTAATAAAAATGCGAAACTGAATATAAACTCTGTTATACGGATTTTCCTTAATAGCTATTTGCACATTCACAAAATAATACTAAGTAGATATTTTTCCATTTTAAAATTTATTGAAAAAATGAAGAAAATAAGTTAACCTTCAAACAATTTTTTTGATTTATATATATACATATATATACATGTATACATATGTATATATATCCGTGTGTGTGTGTACGTGTGTGTACATATATATAATTTTATTAAAAACATGCGAAAAAGAAAGATACGCATATAAAGCTGGTTTATAATCGGTATGTTTCCATTTTATTCAACTTATTATTGATTATCGATGTCACTATTTTTTTTCATAAATCATATATTATTGAAAATGTGATTTCTTACCTTCAAGGAACCAGAAGGAAATTCTAATAACAGTGTTAATAGGAAAAATAATTAATATCTTAGTAAAACTATCTTCTCTCTGAAACAGGACTCTTACATCAACCCATAATCGCAAAACGGAAACTGGTGTAGCATAATGCTATGAATGAGACAGATATAAACCGAAGGTAAGAATTATTATCATCAGTGATACCTTCTTAAAAAAAAATTCCTAGTTCAATAAAGACAATGCACAGTTATACATACTTTCTTACCTTCAAGGAACCAGAAGGAAATTCTAATAACAGTGTTAATAGGAGAAATAATTAATATCTTAGTAAAACTTTCTCTTTTCTAAAACAGGACTCTTACATCAATCCATAATCGCAAAACGGACACTGGTGTAGCATAATGCTATGAATGAGACAGATATTAACCGAAGGTAAGAATTATTCTCATCAGTGATACCTTCTTAAAAAAAAATTCCTAGTTCAATAAAGACAATGCACAGTTATACATTTTGACTAAAATTATATACATTTATCTACACTCTATTTTTAATATTTTACTTCATTAATGTCAATTGTTGACATAATTTATTATCTTATCTAATAATTTGAAAGCAAACGTTAGTAAACATAAAAGTAAATTTTTGTTAATTTACTTCAACTGCGTCGACTAACTTAATAGTGTTGAAAACTAGGGATGCCAACATTTTAATCTCAAGAGACAGATAATTTATGGCATAAGAAAAGTTGAATTCTTTATATCTCAATTTGAGAATTATTATATAAAATTGCTTGATACGATACAAAATATTTTCTTGACTTTTTAAATTCACCATTACAGTTTCTATTTATCTTCTTTATTTTCGAATATTTGGAAAAATCATGATATATATATACTTATTAAACAATTTTGATATAAATGTATTTTTATTATTAATTTATACGTGTTGATTAAGCGATGATTAATTTTTATGAGAAGTATATTTTTTAAAACATTTGTTATATTGCAGTATTCATATAATTAGTATTTTTAATAACAAGATATCGGAACTAATTTAAGATATATTCAATCGTAACTAAAAGGGAGCGTACAAACATATGTACATATCACATTGTCGCAAAGCAAGCCTGCTACGCTAGGAAGTTGTACTCCATGTTTTGAAATGTAAAGATTGAAATGACAAATTTAAATTTCGTGATATTTATTTCACGAATCTTTATAACTATATCAATAGTTAATAAACTAATCTACATAGCCACTGCTAAATTGTTTTAAGTTTCATTTCAAGTGCTAACAAGGAGTCACTGATTTAATTAAAACTCTTTGTGATCGTTTTGATTATGAATAAATAGTATTATAAAGGCAGACACTCAATAGTATTTTATATATTTATGATCACAATTTTGTCATTATGTTAAAATATGTTGTAAATATGATATTTATTAATTTGAGCAATGCCGTGGTGGTAAAGTATTGGTGCTTAGGTAGAGCTTTTGGGGAAATCTTAGTCTGAAGAGTTTGATTTCCGATGTAACTATATGAATATATATATATATATTTAAAATAATTACATTATTGTAAGTGCATATACTATATATACATTTTCGTATGTCCGAGGGCTTGACATACAAGCATTTAAAAAATAGGCGGGAAATGAAAGGTGGAGACTTGGGAGATTGATAGAAGAGTATATCAAGTTTATATCGAAACCAAACTTTCACATTGTTACTATTTTTACCTTAAATATAGCTACTATTAGAGTAGCGAAATTTACGCTTGAAAGACGCACAGAGCGTTTTCCTTAATTCTTAATGAGACATCGTGCGAAATGCGGAGTATAGGGAATAATGTTTGTGGTACATACCACTAACTATAGATACATTTTATGCAGAGTATCCAACAAACAATCAATAAGGAGAGATATATCCTAAACAAACGTATTTGTAGTTATACATACATCATATTGTAGGAAAAAAGAAGATGGAGGAGGTATTAGACTCATTAAATGTAAAACTAAGAGCAGTAAATAAAGTTCGAGATTTGATTAATGAATATAAAACATTATGTACAGATGAAGAACGTATAGTATTTACCCTTAATGTTATGTTAGAATATAATATTATTCCTAAACCATGTGGAGATATAAAGAATGCGAAGCAATCTGAAAGATTCAGAGACCAAGGTAACAAACTATTTGTTTCAACATCGTTAGAAAGTCATACTTGTATAGAAGCACTGAAATTATATACTAAAAGTATAGCTTATGCTCCTTATCCATCACAACAGCTTGCTATTGCATATGCCAATAGGTCTGCTGTTTTAATAAAATTGCATAAATATGAATTATGCGTCCAAGACATAGATAGAGCATTAACAATGTCACATCTACTTCTAAAGAATATATGTGCTAAACTTTATGTTAGAAAAGTTGAGTGCTTAACTATGATGAAAGATCCTCACATGGAAGATGTTATAAAAGAAGTACAAAGTTGTTTGGAAAATCTGTCTTTAGATAATGAGATTAAAAAAAAATTAGATATCAAATTAAATTCTGCAAAGAATGTGTCAGTATATCAAGAGGTTAAAAAGGAAAACATTATGACACAATTACAACATCCAAAAATAATAACATATAATGTTGAAATTCCTTGTGCTTCTGATGCTGTAGCTATAAAATATAATACAGAATATGGTAGACATATTGTGGCTACCAGAGAAATATGTCCTGGTGAAATAATTGCAAAAGAAAAGCTTTATTGGATGCTTTTATCTCCTGCTAACTTGCTTACACATTGCTCAAATTGCTTAGAGGTATCTTGGGCTAATATACCTTGTGAGAATTGTACGTATGCTATGTATTGTTCAGAGAAATGCAAGTCCATGGAATGGGAAAAGTATCATGATGTTGAATGTGCAGTATTTCCTTCTATGTCAAAAATGAATTTTAGTAAATTAGACCTACTGAGTCTGAGGCTTGCAATTCAAGCTGTAAGAGATGCTAAAAGTATGCAAGAACTAAGAGAAGAGTTAATAGAAGTTGATAGTTGTGACAGTACGTAGGTACACCAATTTTTGTGATAAAATCAACAGTAATATTAATTTATTATTTATTTCTCTTTAGATCCTCGTATAAAAGGTTTTACAAAAGATGGAATTTATTCTAGTAATAAATATAGAAGTATATTAAGTCTTGTGACTCACACTGATGAACGTTCAGTACATGATCTTTTTAGAAGATCATTAGATGCAAGCTTTATTTTATATTTCATTGCAACATGTACTAATATGTTTGGGAGTCCATTAAGCAAAAATTTATCTGTGTTAATAAAAAATATTGATGTCATATTTGTTGGTGGTCTTATAATGAGGCACCAGCAGTTGATACCTAGTAATGTACATAGTGTATGTTATTATTACAAATATATTTTTTTCTTATAAATTTGTAATTCAAAGTAATAAATACGAATTGTTCTTTCTAGTTTTAACGTCGACTAACTTAATAGTGTTGAAAACTAGGGATGCCAACATTTTAATCTCAAGAGACAGATAATTTATGGCATAAGAAAAGTTGAATTCTTTATATCTCAATTTGAGAATTATTATATAAAATTGCTTGATACGATACAAAATATTTTCTTGACTTTTTAAATTCACCATTACAGTTTCTATTTATCTTCTTTATTTTCGAATATTTGGAAAAATCATTATATATATATACTTATTAAACAATTTTGATATAAATATATTTTTATTATTTATTTATACGTGTTGATTAAGCGATGATTAATTTTTATGAGAAGTATATTTTTTAAAACATTTGTTATATTGCAGTATTCATATAATTAGTATTTTTAATAACAAGATATCGGAACTAATTTAAGATATATTCAATCGTAACTAAAAGGGAGCGTACAAACATATGTACATATAACATTCAAAATCTAACTGTATAATTATTTATACTATGTATCCTATTAAAACGGGTGAACAAGTATGTATGTGAGCATTTGTTTTTAAACGGAATATTATTGTGTGATATCAATGATAAAGAATTCTGTTTTTTCTGTTTTACAGTTATTTGATAATTATGGTCAACATTATGCAATTACATCAAAAGCCATAAGACAGCAAGAATTAAAACTCTTTGTGATCGTTTTGATTATGAATAAATAGTATTATAAAGGCAGACACTCAATAGTATTTTATATATTTATGATCACAATTTTGTCATTATGTTAAAATATGTTGTAAATATGATATTTATTAATTTGAGCAATGCCGTGGTGGTAAAGTATTGGTGCTTAGGTAGAGCTTTTGGGGAAATCAATAAAACTCTTTGTGATCGTTTTCAGTATGAATAAATAGTATTATAAAGGCAGACACTCAATAGTTTTTTATATATTTATGATCACAATTTTGTCATTATGTTAAAATATGTTGTAAATATGATATTTATATTTAAAATCCTACAGAGTAAGTTATTTGGTAAATAAGAATATCTTAAGAGATAATTCTTTGTAATACTTACTTCTTTTCTAGCAATTGGTTAAAAAGAATGAAGATATAAAGAAGATTTCTCATACATTAAGAAAATTCAACACATATGTTGATCTGAAGAGTTTGATTTCCGATGTAATTATATGAATATATATATATATATTTAAAATAATTACATTATTGTAAGTGCATATACTATATACACATTTTCGTATGTTCCAGGGCTTGACATACAAGCATAGTGGATAAACACATAATAGACAATTTGTTAACTATGGTTAAAGTATTATATGATTTAGTCCCGATGCCTTGCGAAGAAATGAATAATGTGATAGAAACTTTGAAACGTGTGTACGATCTGAATGGAAATCGATTTGAAATTCCTAATATTTAGTAGTTTCTTATAGTAGTAGTACTAGTTTTTTATAAAACAATTTTATTGTTTGATGTTATATATGATAGCTATCGACTTTGTAAATGGGCACGAGTGTCAATAAATCCAGTGGTGTCGTTCCGGGATTAATCGTGTGTAATGTAATCGTATATGTATAAATGTAATGTTTGAAACGTTTGAATTTTGTGATGTACATTTATTGTATGGTCTTTGTTAAATATGAATAAACTGAGGTCTAAGGAATAAAATATCGGCGAAATGATATAAATGTAATAATCTTTAATAGCCGGTAATAATTAAAATATCAATTTCAATATTTTCATTGGTATCGATTAATTAGGTATTCCAATAGTACTTTTACCTAGCGTCAAAGTATACAGTTTGTAGTATACATTTGAGGTAGTGAAGAAGGTAGTATGTGCATGAAAAAATCAATATAAATTAGGAAGTTTCAAAATACTGAATGTCAGTTTCTTAAAATATGTTCAATATGGTAAGATCTATCTTGTTAGTAACCAACTGATTATTGGTAGAAAAATTGCTAATTCGACAGATCGATATATACTGTTAGGCGCATTATTTTGCGTTTGATCCTGTACATAGGTAATTCTCCATTCAACAGCAGGATGTACAGGGCTATGCTTCTTTAAATATTCCAGTAATGTATCTGTTGTAGAGATACCTGTAAAAGAAGTGCTTCTTTATACCATTTATTGAATATTATACGCCATGTGATATAACAAATGATACATTTAAATAATTGTGTCAAACAAAATTTATATAAAGGTACCAAGGGACTCTGTTTTGAGGTCCTTCAACATAGAATATCCGTCACCACCACTCTGCATGAAATCAGGTAGGAGTACATTATAAGTTTGGTTGTTTTGTAGTTTGCTGTATGTCGGAACATTGCAAAACGAACACAATACTTCTACCGAGACTACTCTTGAATTTTTTGGTCGGGATAAGTCATATACGACCTAAAAATTTAAGTACGATAAAATAATGAACTATATATTATAAAAAGCGAAGTATTACTTCGTAAAGACTAACTTTATCACTTTTGTGTAGTGATCATAAATATGTTTTAAAAATAAAAATATAAAAGGTAGAAATCTTCACTTTTATTTAAACATTTTTATATATTTTCACTTTCATTGCTTAATATTTATAGACATTTTATACCTGCAGTCCAGAGAATTGCACAAATGCTCCAAAGAGATTATCGGTATGATTCATGTCCAGATTGTAAACGCTCCATTCTAATACAGATAAGATCATCTCACCAGTCATTGAAACTTTTACGATTGTATTTTGAAAAGGTAGCACGCTAAGAACATCTTCCATAGTAACTTTATCTTCATTAGCTCTTGTGATAGAACTTCTAATACTGCCACCATTCTGGAAAGCTATTGCAGCATCTGTCCAACTATTTTCGTTTGCATATTCACCAGCATTATAATCAATCATAGCGTCCGTAATTAAATTGCCCAAGTTACATTCCTTTCGTCTACAAATTTTACTGTCTCCTTCGAGCAGAACCCGAGTTTTTCCAACGATCGATAGGCTAATATTATCGATAGCTCCTCTCATCTCTTTTAATTCGTTCAAAATATCTTCTGCCTATTACGAAATAGAAAGAAAGAATTATATATTAATTCGATCAATACAATTTGTTATTTGTCGATTGTTACACATTACCGAAACTTTACAGGATTAATTTTTGTACGTCAGTGAATTGCGCTCATATTACTTTATGATATTTAAGCAACGATAAATTGCAGTTAATACGATTTGTTAATTAATTAATCTCGCTATATCATTATCAGATAGATCTTTGATAGCCTAACATTCAGTTAAGTATCGTGACACGTTTAGAGGAACATGGTCGATATTTTCTATTACAACTTTCCTTATTCGTTCTGATTTTTCTTAGCGCTAATCATAGCGATGCAATTACTACGGATGTTACTGAATTTTTAACCATACTCTACCTCTTCGATACTGCTGTCCACGAGTATAGGATTACCATTGATATGATTCACTTCTCCCTCACGGTCGAAGGTCACCGTCAAATTACCAAGATACTTGGTGTAAGCGTAAGCTTGCACTACGTAGACCTTCCTTCCGCTCTTTTGCTTTACTTCCGTTGGATAGAGGCCCTCTGGTGTCTCTTCGTCCGGTTGTTTCCCGTTATAAAGGAAGGTGTTTGTGTGTCCACCAATCACTATGTCTATATCTTCCACTTCTCTAGCGATCTTTTTGTCCACCTCGAAGCCAGAATGACCCAAAGCGATAAATATGTTTACGCCCTGTTCTTTCAGCTTTTTCACCTCTTTACGAATGCTCTCCACCTCGTCCAGGAAGATTACGTTCTCCGCCGTGGAGATTATCTTGGTCTCCGATGTCAGGTAGCCTATTACACCTATCTTTACGTCATTTACGTTTAGGACGGTGCTATTTAATAGCTTCGTTGCGGCTAGGTTTTCTTGTTTGCTCAGGTCCAGATTGCAAGTCACTATGGGGTACGTGCTGTTCTGGATGAAGGGTATCAAGCCGTCCACGCCATTGTCAAACTCATGGTTCCCTAAACTCTGCGATTGTTGTAAATGAAAAAGAGAAAACGAATCTGTCAAACTATCAAATTCAGATATCGAAATTCATCGTGGTTCTTGGTACAGCCGTTTTTAGTCGTTTTTAGCTGAACCGAAAATCGATTTCCTCGATTTAAATTTATGTCTTCCGCGATACCGAATGCAGCAGTTAATCACTCGATACTCTCTTCGATTCGAATTAACCGTTCCTCGAATCAGATCACTGTACAGATCGCTGAAAATGACGTTACGTAGAGTCCTGTCACTCGAGGTCGGTGTAAAAAGAGGAAAGAAAAGAGATCGAGTAATTTTGGCTAATGGAAGGATAACGATTGCAGTTGTTTCATTGCTTACCGTCACGTTCGGTGCAAGAATGTTCATGAATTTGGCCACCACCGTCCATTTGAAGACATTGTACCATATAGATCCTTGGTATGTGTCGCCAGCGTTGAGGAAGAGGCAAGGAATCGGCGATTTACGGGCTTCCCGGATCAGAGTCGCCAATCTGGCAAATCCTCCATAGCATTTCTTTTCCGCTGCTTCCTTCTGCGAGCAAGGACTCGATAATTTCGACGTCTGTTCGAACCTGTGGGACATTTGCTCTGCTATTTCTGAGATTTCTACCTCGGATAGGTGGAAAAATTCCCACGAATGCTACAGAACCTCGCAATTGTACATCTTGCATCGCATTTTTCCCATGCTCCTGCCTATCCATCGAGTCATTTTTTTCTTCATAAATTGCAGAAAATGATTGAAAAAACCTGCTTTAATGCCCCCTTCAATCTCGATAAACGTGCTCGTCGGTGAATCGATAAATAATTTAGAGCCCGACATTCGACGCATAGTTCTGTAATTGCATTCTGTAATTGAAAACGCGCGGATTCTACAAGGAAATACGTTTATTCGTGGGATATTCAAGATATCCGTTGTTGTATGCGAAATCGTTCGTCGGTCACGGCCGTCTGCAAGAAATTAATGTTTAAATCGTCCAGCCGAGTGTTAATTATCGTTTGATTGTTTGCAATTAATACTGTACGAGCGGCTGATCGCGTGGCATCGATATTTTAACCGATTAAATATTTAATCGAATAACGTGCAGCGAAGCACGTGCAGGAGGCCAGCCAGCGATAAACATCGTGGCAATTGAGGAAATAACCGAACGAGCGGTGAATTTTTTCAGTTGGTTAAATATTTTGCAAATGGAAGTCGCTCGTTATTGCGAATTATCGGAGATCTACAGTCAATATTGCCATACAAAGCAGGTGATCGCGAGCAGGAGTCGCGAGAATTACTCGAAATTTCAGGATCCATTAGAACACCGCTAGAAACGTAAGCGAAGAAACTGAATAACATTATCGATTCGAATCGATTACACCTGCTGGATCGATGCTTCCGAGTTTCGAGATTCTCGTGGAATCCTTCTATCTCTTTCGATCGCGAAATTTACACGCGTGCTCATCATTGTTTGGATCGAGAATCCAACTGATCGCGATAAAAGTTCGAAGATAAGCTCGCCGATACTCGCGAGGAAGATCGTGATCGATCGCGATAGCTAAAATATTCCCCTTGGCGGAGATTCTTTCGCTCGGAGCAGGAAGAGGAGAATACAGGAGACAAATACGTACCTCGAGTGCATATCGTTGGTGTGGACGATCCTGATGGTGAGCTCGTCGGTTGGCCTGACAGCAGGACTGCCAAGGACCCCATTGGAGAACGCCAGAAGGGTGGCGAGCACCATCCAAACGGCGAACATTTTCCGTTTGTCAGACGATGTTCACGTTTCGCCGGCACTTTCGTCCAATTTCACTCCGTCCCGTTATCTGGTTGTTTTAAGGGTAACGTGACAAGCGACGTCGATATCGTGCGGCTATCGAGCAGAAAAAAAGGAAAGAAAGACAAATGGTTCCAGCAATTACGGCCTCATCCGATTCGTAGCCTCGCCGTTGAAAAATACTCCGTTCTTTTCTATTATCCGTCTCGTTTATATCGCTTTTCCTCAACGACCATGCTTGTTCATTTTCTGGATCGTTGAGCGGCGTCCTCGAGGAAGACGCGAGGCGTCGGGGCCTTCGTCAACGGCTAATCTTCCGGTATGGTCCTCTATCGGACCGAGGTTAAAAATGCCTCGTCGTCGCTATTTTCTAGCTCGTTAATTTTTATGTTGAACGAAACTTCCCTGCCGATCACCTCCGTCCCAGAAAATTATTTCTCTCCGAGCCATTTCGATCCTTCGATGATGAATCTTGACGCGATCGCGAATCGGCGATGGATCGATGGTGTCGATCGCGAGAGACGCCGGTGCAAAGGTGTCCCGTAAAATGGCTATTTACGACTCACAGATCGAGGTGAACGCTGAACAATAGGCAAGCCCGAAGGTGTCTCTATCCTCTGGTGACATAAGCTATAATCGTTTCACCGCTGACGATGCGCGGAATAAACGCTTTAACGAATCGGGGAATATCTCGACCGACAATTGGATCTCGTCGGCACGCACGTTATTGTCCCATTTGGACACGCGTACAGGCTTCTTGTCGCGAGTCAGCGAAAAATTCCGCGAGAAGTCCGCGAGAGATACCTTGAAAAATACCGCGCATTTTGCACTAATAGAGCCTCGCGTCTAACATATAAAAAATATTTGACGTCATTTGGCTAGAGTGTGCAAGAGCATTGGAAAGGTGGCACTTCCGAAGTGGTTACGTAACAAGTTGTAGCTGTATTAGAAAAATGATAATGACTCGAAGGTATCGCTCCGCTACCACTTCGCCGAGTGTCTTTTAATACCCATCATTTTATTATTTCGACGGCTCTATTTACATATGCTTTAATTATCATAACTAATGCAAATCTTGCATTGCTAACGACGCGCTCACCGTGCTGCGTAGCGTTTCTTCTTCGCGCGATTTGATAAGTCGTCGAGAATTCGCGGCATTAAAGCAAGGAGAAGCTAGGAAAATTAAATTACCTTTCGCGTAATTTTCAACGCTGTGTTTCACAGCATTCGCGGAGAAAGTAGAACCGTCCGAGAATTATTCGCCAGATATACTTTGCCTCTTTTCGTTTATTCAACATCCAGTTACAGCGGAAATTCTGCCGATCAGAAACTTCGTACCCGTGTTTTAACACTTGGCCGAGCGTGTAGTTTCTATTAACCTGCAAGCTACCGAAACCACGATCGATGCGAAGCTCGGCCACGTCAATGACAAAGTTAACGACGTACCGTTATATTAATCATCTTAAAATATTACCGATGCCGAGGCCTTAGACATAGGCAGCGGTGGTTGACAAACGACGAAGGGGCCGTATATCTGTAAACGAACTGAACGAGTTCCTCCATAAAAATTGTTTGCCTATTCCGACTTTAGACGACCTCGACTTCGATTTCGTTCCCGGATAGACAAAAAGGAAAGAGTAACAACGCAAATTGCCTCGAATCGTATCTCATCGATCAACTTTCCCTCGACGTACATCTAAAACGAAAGATCTAAGGTCGAAACGCAGACTTATCGAGCAAGAAAATTGCGAAAAGCTGGTATTACCGATATCCTAAGGGATTGATAGTCACTCGAGAAATAAAGAGGGTTTCCTCGTGAAAGACACGCCTCGTGCTTCCATTTCCAACAACGCGTTGTCCGACGTTCCTCGAGATCGACTGTACAAAGTTCTCGCGAAGGTCGGTAAAAACGCGTACTGTGTCTCGACGATCGCAACAACGTCGATCGTTGTACGTAACGATCCTCGAGGTCGGCTCCACGTTCTCGTTCTACCACCTGTCACTGAATCCGCCTCGACCTCAGAATTCGAGAGACGCCGGAACGCGCGAATGTTCGCCAAGCGTGCGAGATAGCGAGCGGAATGCCGCGAGTACCGATCGCCTGCTTATAAATAAAGAACCGAGTCCGGTGCCAATCACTCACCACGATGGTGTATCTCTGCCTTGCCGAGGAGTATCGGCTGCTGGTTGCACAACGATCGCACGCACTCTAACTTCGATCGCGCTCCAAGTGTCCGCCACTGGTGTTTCCTCTGACGAGCGACCAACGCCGACTGAACACGATCGTCGACCGAAAATCACGGGCCGTCTCCGTTTGTCCCCCAATTTAGCCGCGAATCGCTTCTCCGATTCGTGGATTTCAGAGCAGACCGGTCGGCACCGAGCGCCGCGAGTGCACGTGGTTTCTCGCCGAGTAGATAGCGAGCGTCAAACGCTTCTGTTCGCGCCCAAGACTGCGACGTCGCGGCGCGTAATTGCCGCGAAAATCCCGCAATTTTCCTACGTTTTTCGTTCCCCCGTACCTTCTCTTCCTTCCTCGCCGATCAGCTTTGTCCCGATCCCGGAAATCCGTCCCGTTCTCCGAGCGGACGATCGATCGTGTCACGCTCGGCGAGTTGGCTGCTTGCCGCTTCAAAGTTCAATGGCAGATCGTCGAGTGGACTAGTCCGCGCTCGAACCATCACAAAGGGCCAAGATCGACTTGATTTTACTCCATTTGGCAGCTAAATATACCGGGTGCGTTCGCGGATTATCTATAGAGGTGCAAGTGTCGCGAGTGTGTGGCAAATAAAAATAGAAGGCGAGGCGAATTGATCGGATTGGTTAACTCGCGTATGATCGATTGGGTCGATTTTCTCTTGGTGGAAAATATTGTTTCATTAGCAGTGATCGCAACGAGGTGTGATTGCTAAGGTATGATTGATCGGTAGTAACACTGATTCACTTTTTATCTGATATCAGAGATCATGCACTCGTTCGAGGTCGTCGCGTTTAATCCGTGAGCAGTTTTCTTCGCTTTACCAGGAGAATCGTTTTATCTCGCTCCGGGGGACAACGATCGCTTTATCTCTCGATATTTGGCTGCCGGATCAACGATTGAAATCGATAAACTCGCTGGAAAGAAAGGCCCGAACGATTCCACGAGGAACTCCGAGGAAGCATCATGAGCTCGCCTCGATTGTTCTTCGTCTTCTTCGCTAGCAGCTCGCTTCGAGTCGCGTGCGATTCACGATCCAGGAGTTTTTAATGGAAATGATCAAAGCACAAGGCCAAGAATCGCGTCTCTGAACTTACGTAACGTCGCTCTGTGATCAAACAAACGCGTCAATGACATCTTATCGCGAATTATATCACACGAGGATGACAATGTGTTCATCTTTCCGCAAGGACACGGACCAAGTGTCGTTGGATCGTAGCTCGGTCACAGCCGCGGTTTTACTAAGCGACTTGGCCACAACTCGAATACAGAATGATCTTGTCAGCGCGCCAGGACGCCTAGCGTCGCCTAGCGTCGTTCACTCACTCGTATCCTCCGGTTCCGAAATGTCAAACTGGCCAGACGAATCGGGCACAGTCGAGTATGTTCTACTGGGTACGCAAAATGTACACATTTTACCGATTGATGGTACTCGACGGGACAAATTTTCAACTCGTTTCTTCCTTATAAGGAATACGAAAATGACAAACTTCGCCGAGCTTCACAGACCGATTTTCATTTTAACGAGATGAGGTATTTTTCAGACGAAAAATCAGCAAAGTGGTTGAAACACGTGTTTATTATTCCGACACGAATTAGCGAAATCAATGGACGAGTCCAAGGTTCGGTATCACGTGAAAATGGTGACAATGACGAAAGACTGGAGGCACGTGTAAAATTATGATAAGGCTGTACGGTTATGTCGAGTATGTAACCACAACGATAGCACGGACGACGGTAAAACGGGCTAAGAATTATTGCGTTGTTATCGGTAGTAAAACAATATCGTAAACGGCCTTGGGGCTCCAACTTTCGTACATTTACATAAGCGACAAGCGAAAATCGCGATGTTGAATTCGCATCGAAACGAGATTTTCACAACAAGAATCGCCGTCGAGTCTCTGCGAAATTAGTCGCGATTTCGAAAATGTTAGCATTTATGCAGAGGTTTACCAAGAGAGATTTACCAAGACCGTTTCGTCATACCAACACTTTCCCTTTTATGCGTACACACGCGGTGTTATCTCTTCTATTGCGTGGAAGCCGAAAGGTGAAAAAATCAGCTGACCAACGTTCCAGTTGGCAGGCTAAACACCGAATACAGGAAAAGTATGCGTCGTTGGAAACGAGTTTTTCGATGAATTATTCAACGATTATACCGACTCGAATCACGGATATTAGGCTCATGCATTAGTTATTCGACGCAGCAGCTAGAAATAGCAGCTCTTCCTCTCGGCCACGACGAATGCTCTGTTTTAGACACGAGGGACATTTAGTCGAAGAACGACCGCCTGTCGACGTGGACTCGCGATGGCAACATTCGCGTGATATTCGCTTAGTTTTCGCGTGATTCGATAGTGAAAAAGGAAGAGAATTCGGTGACTTACCAGCCATTGGATGGAAAGGTTGAGGGTGAATCGCGTGGGTAGCCTCGGCTAGGCAGGGGTTGCTTCACCACCACGAGGACAAGTCACACGTCCGAAGGACAGGAACGAACTGACTCAGGTAAAAAGGATTCCCGATGAGAGACCTGGCCTTTGATAGACGGACCCTTGGTCTGAAATTTATTTTGCCCGTTATATTTGCCCTCCAAACGTTTGCACAAGACAGTCACTCCCCTTTTCGACCTAAACTAATTAACCTACCTCCCAGCCAAGCCTTCCTGGAACCGTTCTTCACGATTTTCCGCCGAGGTAGCCCGCGATTCTCTATTTATTATACGATCGTGTCGCTTCTGCTATTGAGTCGTTAATCGATGATTTGTCTCGCAATTTACTCGATGAATTTGCGGAAATATCTGACGGGTGACAGTGGAAATTTGCGTAAATGCGGATTATTGGATTCGTGACAGCACGCATACTTAAGCGAATAGAAGGATGTAACTCGGGGCTTCTTAATCCGTGGGTCGAGACTTGGGTTATTCCAAACAATCGAGGATATCCTGCGTTCTGCACTCTCAGCTATTCAGCCTGGATTTAATTCTCTATGCGATCTAAATTTACCTGCGTCCCAATAAATACTGTTAAAATTAACAGAAAAATTAAATTTCTCTTACGATTATTCTCCATTTATATATTTCTAAATAATTTTCGTCGCTATTCGTAGACGAAATATACCTAAAGGAGTTTGAAAAGTTTCAATGCAAAAATTTAGAAGTTCGACTTAAACGAGGCACTCTGTACGTGCACAATACATACCTGGAATCTTAACAAATTTGTTTCTATAATAAAACGACGGAAGAGATGGAATGAAAAATTTTAAGAACTCGTCTAATTTCCAAATATCAGGAATTTATTATATCGTCCTAGAAGCGAGTAGAAGAGAGTAAACGGACCCTCTAATTAACTAAAAAGCAAACAACGTGTTAGTAATTATCCCGGAAAATTGCAGGGAAAGTGAATTAAGTAATTTCGCGATCGATTCGTGCTCGTGCCGTTTCATGGAAACGTGTTTTACGATAGATGACCGAGCATTATCAAATCAGGTGACCAAATTTTTGGTCTCCGCGTGCAAGAGGTGTCTCAGAAATTCCCCCATCGATGTCATTTCGAAACACTCTCTTTCTCTCTTTTTGTTTATTGTTCGAAGAACAGTTCTCCTTTCTTGTTTCCCTCGTTTCCGATAGGAACACTGAATAATTTTATTAGAGGCCTCCTCGGGAACAGCCAAGCATCCGTGACCGATACTTGAGCGAGATTAATCGTTATCGCGAGCATTAAACGATTCTTTACCAAATAATATCGCAATGCAGGCTTATCTGGAGGAAGCAATAGTGCAACGTGTTGGAAAATTCAACCAGTAAGGTCACTCGGCTTCAGAGACAAATAACACGTGTTTTTAACCTGTTCACTTAAGATATGCAATTAAGATTTCATTAGCCACGTTCTATTGTGCTCGGTTGTGATAAGAGAAGAAACACTCGTTAAAGGCAATATATCATCGGACCATGAACTTCAGACTCTTGATCGTTAGAAAAATACATTAAAGCTAATCCTACCGATAATACGTATATATATTTTTATTTAATCGTTTAAATGGTATTTGTCTAATCAGTGCTGAAACAAAAGCCATATTTTTCATGCCTCGATCCGAATAACAGCTACTTTAATGCGATAAACAAACACTTGGAAAATTTAGATAACGAAAGAAATGAATTTGCCTCGTTTAAATCATAAACAACAGCAGCAGATAAACTGTAAGAGATAGTCTTACTTTGTTCCCTTGGAAGGTAGATCGTATCTCGTTCCTGTGTATGGTATTTTATACAGATTGCAGGTCCAGATATTTAATTTCTCTCCGGTTTATTATTGTATTTATAACGTTCTTTTCGTACGTTGTAAAAGGGAATAAATTTTTCAGCCAGTGAAATCACCGGTTGCGGTAGTCGAAGCAGGCTATGTATTAATCTCGGAAGAAACGGAGTACGAAAATTGATTACTATGATTACTATGATTTTCAGCGTGTCTCGAGTCACTTGGAAACGGCGTATCGGAAGAAGATCGCACGATCCGTGGATCAAATTTGACTTTAGCAGAGAAGGTTGAAACTGTACGATGGAGTTTGATAAGAATATAAAAAGAAAATTACCGACCTTTCCGTTTTACTTTTAGGAAGGAGATTTTTAAAGAGCGACGTCGAATGGGGAGAATTTTCAACGAAAAACGCATAAAACGCTCGACCAGCCACGTTAGGTTTAATTTCAACGAGCTTTAAGTATCCCGAGAATGCTCCCCAATTTGCCTCTGAGCAGCGATAAAAAGAACGCAATTTTCTGTCCTCTCATTGGTATTTATCGTCTGGCTTGTATAACGAGCGAGCTTATAACCATATAGTGATTTCGGTTCAACGTGGAAGCAGCGAAAACGCGGTGCTTCCCAGAGATAGACAGTCCACGACGAGCGTCCACGGCCGACAGATGCGTTTCGCGTTGAATTTGCGACTAATCAGCCGGTGTTGGACTAATTATGGCTGCGTTTCAGCAAATCGCCCGATTACGCGCGTAATTGCGGTGTTTTCGTCGCGAAATTAGATTGACAGCACGTGAACCGTGTCAATTATTTCGTGCTCCCTTCCGTGACTATCTCCATTGTCTTCCGTGTTTTTCCTCATTACTCAGCTCCGAATCTGCCTTGTCACGAAATCCATTACGACCAGCTTTTCTTCGGGGCTCTCGATTGATATTTAGCGACTCGAGTGCATAGTACGAACAATAGTGCTCGTGCACGGGTCTGCCCCAACCTCGCATCGCCTTCTTTTTCTGCCTACCAGCGATTTCTTATCGAGCAAACTTGTTATTAAGACCGAAGAGGAACTGCCAGGTTCGAAGTTTGGCGGGAAATTACGAAAATGTGCAGTCAGCTACCCGGTGGATCGGTTTGCTCGGAGAATTTGACAGAGATAGACGAATTTTTGACATGACCGCTTTCGCGGCTCCAATTATGCGCAAAGATGGCTGGTCGTTATCGAGGATCCACGAAGGTCTAAGGGAAAGTGCTCGTTCATAATTGATTTACGATGAGAGACGTACCTGGTCAAGCGAACGCTGCAACCTTCGTTAAAACTTCATTCCTGCAATCGCTCAGCGGTGATGCAAAATGCAGGCTGTGCACTCGTGAGTCTTGCTCGAAGAGATTGGGTATGTTTCGGTAAGTTCTCTCGAAATAATAGCCCCGGAAGTTGCGAGTAATTCGACGTCCATTCTCTGCAATCAAAGTGGATGCCGTTAATAGCTATCGGGAAACGCTATTAGCTCGCTTCCATCGTTCACACACGATCGTGATTCTGCCGAGTACTTGCTCAGAATTCGCGTGTAATTTACTGGCAGAAGTTCTAGCGGAAAGTAACGCGAGAAGTTTTCTATATTCCTTATCGTCCGAGATATGGATAGATCCAAGTTAAAAATATAATTTATATTCGACCGAGATATTCCAAAAAGAAATCGTTCTTTATACGCGTATAAAATGTTATCTCTCCGTTCTATTTTTAATCCCGACGAATTTCCGAAGATAGAAAACGCGCGAAATTTCTCCAAAGGTTGCTTTGCTCCCCGATCTTTTGGCACGAATTACGCAAAGGTTGCTATTTAGGAAAACGCGAATATATACAATTTGGCACAAATTTACCGGATAAACCATCACGTTGATTCACTTCACCAAAGTCCATCTCTTTAGGGACGAAATTTCTTTAAGTTAACGTTACAATGATTTCAAAGCAGCGATTATAAAGAAGAAAAAACGTTTTTCTCTTTGAGAGAATCTATGGTGGACAGTTCTCCAGGGAGAAAATTCGAAGGGCGAGGGATTCTATGGTGAACAGTTCTCCAACTGATTCCAATTTTCTTTCCACTTGTAATAATTATAATTAAAACAAAATTGGACGTACACATAAGTGCCAGTATCTCAGAAGAGATCAAGTCACCTACGAGTTATATCCTCGCAAGCGAGTTCACCGGATCCACAGGCCCGCGAAATTAAAAATGGAGAATCGTTGTGCCTAGAAACGCGAAACACTCTTCGATCTCCGGAACAAACTTTCCACGAGCAAACCGATCTTTCCACTCCGCGTTTCAACCTTCCTCCCTTCCAACTCCTTCTCTATCCCCCCGTCAGTTCCAAAACCCAGCTCGAAATCGGTGAAAACCGAAGGCAGTGATCGCGAGGTGTTCGTTCGTCGCGTGTACCCTCCAGTCTAAACGCGCGACAGAGCGTTGTTTCCTCGACAGAGAACCGGTTGCTGCGGGAAGGGTGCCAGAATCGTGATTCCCGAAGGAGAACCGGGACGTCCCGATGTGCCAGGTCGATCCACGATGCTGTTCCGGTTTTTGCTGCTGCTCTTCCTCCTCCGGTTGTCCAGCGGGTTCACCGGAAGAGGCCTCCACTACCTGGGCCGGTCGGATTTATTCGAGCTGTCGGTGATACACCTGAACGACTTCCACGCGAGGTAAGTGCTCGTCGTTCGGAAATCGCGCAGCGAGTAGCGTGGCAAGCGGAAAAACTGGGTCAATGCAAATGCTTTCTGTTAATCGACGTTAACACGTTCGTTGCGTATCGACTAGCCATTGGACGTATCGTTCGCGATTTATATCGTAGGTGAATCGACTGTTTCCCGGGTCGGTTGCATAAGCCAAGATATCCAACGGGAGGCGAGAGAACAAAGGTCTCTGGGATCGATCGGAGAACTTTCGCGATTGAAACCGGACGAATTTTTCTTCCAGTTCCTCTCGCATATCCGATTTGTTCGATCCAGTTGATCGACTCGATGCTATTCCACGATATTCCGCGATGGAAAGGCAGTAGGCTGTGAGGCAGAGACGCTGGGAAGGGAAGTAACGATCGGTTACGCAACGGAAGGCCATTGGAACAATCGAACCGGGACTCTGAAAGCGGAGCGTGTGCTGATCGATTCCGAGCTCTGGCCAAGTGAAATCTCAGGGTCGAGGACGCGATCATTCGGGTTAATCGGAACGTCGCTTTTTTACCGTGTGCCTTCGTCGATCCGTGAGCCTCGAGTTGCTCAATGCTCGTGTTACATGCGACTCTGGAAACGTTTCCATCGGCGATCGCGAATCGTGCGTGTCTGAAACGTTCTATCGAAGGATCACGGATGTCAGGGAGGACTGAGTTACGATAAGGGAAGGAAACAATTTTCGAGTTTGGTTCACGGTGAGAAACGATTTCGCAGGTTCGAAGAGACGGGTCCTAGATCAGGACTGTGTCACGAGCAGAAGAAGAAGGACTGCGTGGGTGGAATCGCGAGAGTTTCCACAGCCGTGAATCGACTGATCGAGGAGAGACCGAACCCGATTTTCCTCAACGCCGGGGACCATTACCAAGGAACACTATGGTACAATCTTCATCGCTGGAACGTGACCGCCACGTTCATGAACATGCTGCCGCACGATGCCATGGTAAAGAGACTAGCAGCCGATTCTTCGCGAGTTGTCGTCTGGGTCGCTTAATTCGGGTCGAGAGGTTAACCATCGATCATCTGCTCGCGATTAAATTGCGCGAGATTCGGATCATCTTGCGAAGCGGAATTTCGCCGATGAACGCGCGTGAAACGCGGTTTCCTTCGTGATCATCATCTGGGAATTGAATGGACTTCGAGGGGCACAGGTTGATGGATCTGCGATCGCGGTAATTACGCAGACGATTCGAGAATAATAACTCGCGAACAAGATAAGTGCTCCGTGCTCGGTAATATTTGTCTCTTTAGTGGTTCGAAGATACACTCCATCCGGAAACGCGATTTTTTCTCGGATAACGATCCACGTTATCGTAGGTCATCCGCAATCTGCTCGCAACTTCCCGGTTAGGTGAATTGCCTTCTAATATATCGTGTCGATGCTTTTTCACTCACTGTGCACGTGTTAAACAACATATTTGTCTAAATTCCTATCACGATCCTAATGCAGCGTGTTCGATAATGCTATAAGAATTTCTTCGGATTTCTTTTTAAACTACTATCCGCTGAAAAATTTCATGGATTCGAATCACTGCGATTTACACGATAAAGTTAAATTAAATTAAATTGGACAAAATTTACCGGGTGAATTTTGCTTGAATTTAACATCAAACTTTGCACGGTGAAGTGTAAAATTTTTAAAATATGGGATAAGATATATCGCGGGAGAAGAAAAATCGCGAAGACGAGTGGCTAACAAGCAGAGTGCAAGTCCTTCGAGTCACCGATTTAGTTGAAACTTTGAAGGTTTGTAGATATCGTCATGCAATTTAAGAAAATATATCACTATAGCGGAAATTACTCAATAATTTTTGAGATATTTACAATTAAAGTTTTATTGTCTAGCTAATTATATACTTATTTCAGTTAGTTTATAAGTGGAGTCTTGGCTTAATGGCGTTAGTCGGAAATTCCTAATCTGAAGGACCGGTGTTCGATTCCGATTTTTTTTTCGATCTATTTTTTATTTTGTATTCATTTTTCGCCTATGAAAACAGTATAAATAAACAATTGTAAATAAAATTTCTTAATAAAAAAATTTATTTATTACGTTTTTTTATGCTAGTATATATTTATT